TGTAACCATCACTGCATTGGCATGGATACAAATCTTTCGTGCAAATGAAATTTCTTCAAATCCCAGCTTTCCGGAAACGGTTTTGGTCTATTTCTTCGTAAATCGTCGAACACCAGTTGCATTATTTCGGTCTTGGACGGGATGTTAATATCGGACGAATTATTGAACACATATTAATTACGGAAACATTAATCTGATAATACTATATATAGGCTGCAGTAATATTAGGTATATGCATAAAAATGTTACAAGTTATACTGATCAAGAATACAAAACTAAAAGTTTTTTTATTTTTTGAATAAAATCTATAATTTGTAAATTTAGGAAATAATATACTAGATACGTATGGGTATGACCAAAGAATATTAGAATATACAAATGTTTTGAAAGTTTATGCGGAGCTGCTGTGCACAGTGGGATATTTTTAGAAAAATCCTACAAAAATATTATATAAAGATTAACTAAAATTTGAATTTTTTTTTCTCTGTGATGGCTGCCATTTAGATTTCAGTATGATACGAATTTATTCAATAAACGGGCATTTTGTTAATGTAATTAAACCTATATTTAAATGGTACGAAAGGATTGTCTAAATCTATCTTGAAAGTCTACGAAAAATAAAATTGACATTTGTATTTGTATATTCAGTTTTAATTCATACCTATATGCAGTTACGGTTAAAATTGCATATTGATTTGATATTTTTCAAAGTTATAAAATATAATGTTACACACTAAATCTGCAAACTTCCTGGTAATGGGGCTGGCAATTTAGTAATTAGGGATTAATATAAATGTGAAATCGGCTATGGAGAAGAAAATATCAGCTTAGCAAAACTTCTTGTACCTATATACAGTCGCATGGATACGAATTAGTAACGCCCAGTGGCGGATTGGACTTAAATTTCAAATGACGCATTTTCATAATTAAGTATACTTATCAGTTATCACCATCTGACCACCACCACTTCCATCCATTATAACTCGTAACAAAGTTATGATATTTTAAATAAAATGTGGTCAAAAGAGCCAAAAGGTCAGGCCTTAGCATGTAATTGTGCGCCACAGACTGCACGGGGTATAATTTACCCCCTTTGAAAAGTTGACGCAACTGCGTCAAAATTGAGCCCTTCAGCTCGCCAATGGTGGCACCATACTTTAAGGCAGGGGTCGCCAACCTTTTCCCCCAAGTGAGCTACATTAAAAATGTCAAGTATCCGATAAGCTACCACTATTTGTTTGCGTATACTATTTATATTATTACATGCAGCATAATATAATATTCTACATCGGAAAATTGTATGTTTTTATTCGCTTTCAAATATATGTATTATATTTACTATGTACAGCTCAATATCGTACTTTTGCTAGTTTTTAATAAAATTGTATACAAGTCTCCTAATATATTGTTACAATAGCAATTGAAAAATATAAAAAATATATAGTCACAATTTGTTTTATAAGCATTTTAATGAGATGAGAATTAATGAGAATTTTTTTTTGACGTCAGGGGGTGCATATACTCAAACTTCCCTTAGTCGTCAGATGAGCTTCTTACGGCTCCGACCCTGTAGGTATATAAGTATATAGGTATTTGACATTTGTATATACAAAAAAATATTTGATGCTTTGAGCCAAAACCAAATTCACGTGAGAGCTTTGAAATCGGGATGAAAACTCAGAAATAGCCTATATACGACTCGTTTGACCAAAGAAAATGTGTTAAAATGTTGGTGCTAATTCGTCAAAATTTGTGGAATAAGTAGGTATTTAATTTTGATTTATATATATGCCTACTACATAGCGGTTAGCCATATAGCCATATAGGTATAGGTCAGGCCCTATTTTTTAGTGAACCCCGACACAAAGTGTGTAGTCCGAAATTAGAATTGTGCACTTCGGATTTAATAAGTGTGTACTAATGAATAAGACTATATAAATAAATAGATTATAATTGGTATGTAATAATGTACAATATAGTATATCTACATAGTACATATTATGTAGTATACTAATATTACACTAAGTATACATACAATTAAAAAATAATTTTTAAAAATGAAAATCTTTATGATAGGTGGGTACCAAAAATAAATTGTTTTCAGTTCCATTTTAACAAATTGACATTTACTTCTCTACATTTGAATCGCTAATGAACTATTATGAAGGTTGGATACCTTTAGTTATTTCTGTGTTATGATTTTGACTCTTTTAAATTTATAAAAAGTTATGCCCCATATTTTACTGAATAATATATCAATTTAAATTTAAATTCTTGGACCTCTTTGTCACTGTGTCAAAATATCATTGTAAATAAAGTGTGTAGTACGAATTTTTTTGAAAAATAGGGGCTGGTATAGGTATTAAATTTGATTTGATGTACCTAATAGATATTATCCTTATTAAAATGTAGTGTGTGTAGGTTTCCAACATTTTCCAATAAAAGCTAAAACAAAAACTATTAATGTTTGGTAAATAATTTAATAATGTATTTAATATTTTAATTCTGTAAAGTATACATTTATAATACTTTGTAGTTTGTTCTATGGCATTGATTATGCATTTCAATATAGCAAAATGAAAATTAAACTTATATATATATTATGTAATACCTAATCAATAATCATATACAATGTATTATATTGTACATTATTATTTATTTGTTATCTGTAGTTGTTTTCTTTCCCAGTTTCATATAGACCCGCAGTGCCGTGGACAGGGGGGAGGTTAGGGGTTATATCCATGGGCGTGCTAAACGGGTGGGGTAGGGGGTTCAACCCCTCCCCCCATGAACACTTAACAAATATAATATATGTATATTTACATATTATAATAACAATAATTATTATTATTAGGAACAAATCTAGTTTTTCACCAGTTAAGAACGATGGTGCAAAAATTAATTGTTAAAAATTAGTTTTTAAGTTATAGCCTAGCTGGGTGTTATCAATGGATAACTTCCCAATCATATTATTTCACTGTTAATTTTATATTCCTTTATCAAATCTAATTATTATACTATTAACTGTATAGATTGTAGATGTATTTTAATAAATAAAAAAAAAAAAAAAAAAAGTTATAGCCTTACAAAGTTCATAATTTTTGGTGTTTCACGCATTTGTACAACGCTATATTTTACTACGCATTTGGAACTTTTCTGTTTTACTGAACAACCTTTTTTTCCTTTTTTTTTTGTTTCAACGCACCTAGGTATGTAGTTAAATATGCTGGAAACGATGAACATGTCTGAATTTGGCGGTCAGACTTATTTTAAAATTATAGCTAATTGAAGTTTTTGGTATTTTCATATATACACCCGGCGTGGTCACTCGGACGATTAAAATTTAAAACATCCCTCGACTTGTTATGTAAAACATAAATTGTTATTATTTTTAGGAGGAGGGGAAGTGGGTTAATTTTCAGATCGATTTCCGATATCTACGTGATTTTGAATTGGGTACTTAATTTCTTGTTGGCGATTGAAAGCTTATTAATTATCAGGCCGGAGGGGGGTGGATCTATAACGATGAACTGGTAAAATAACATATAAATTATACACATCGTCCCCGTACATCTTATCACTTTCAATCAGTGCCAATAATAACACGTAGGTAATTATGTATTTTACTTTTGTTTTTCTTATCGAGGATCAATAGATTCTTTGACCTGCTATATAGGTTAGAATAATAACCGACTAAAAACATGTCGGGGATGGTCTAAGTTTAATACATTTCATCTATTTTGTGATCTAAATTCCATGTAGGTACCCCCTTCTTATTATACGTTTAATTTTTAGATTAGATTTAGATTAATAATTATTAGTTAACCAATTTATACTTTGTACCAACGTGTCGTGTGTGTGTTTACCAGATTTTAAGTGTCACCGAAGGTGATTACAACTTTCTTATATCATTTTTCTTAAATTACCAACCATAAGAGCAACTAGGAACATTTTTCTGGGGTGGCTAAAATTGTATCAGCAGCATAAACCCTGATAAATAATATTTTAAACTAAGATATGATTAAAAACTCTTTGGGCTACGGATAAAACTGGGGGCTAAGTCCCCCATGCCCTCCACCCCCCTAATTATGCCTATGTTACCCACTCATTCAATGTGGTCACTCGAAAGTCAAAATGTCTGTTATGCAAATATAACTGCATGTTTTTAATTAAACTTACTAATTATATTTTAATATTTGTAATCAGTGGTATAGGTACCTAAATAATTAGATGAAAATGATATCCTTGTTTACTCGACCTGGCACCAATCCGGGGCTCGGGCTAAACCGACTGTTGTACAATATTGTACTATATCGTGTTTATTTAGTTTTTCGTCTCTGCAAAGTCGTTTGAAATGCGGCCAAAACAACGGAGGCCAAAAAATAATGTTCATCTTTGGATCGGTGCTATCGACGATACCGATCATCGAAAATCGCATGGCTTGAGATAAAAACCCCCTCTCGAGTGACCCACCTCCGACTCCTGCGAGCTGCAAAGGATTAAGGGTAAATCTCGGCAATTTATTTCGGTTTAGGGACACCGAGCACTCGGGCGAGCGGCGAGAAAAGCGTTAACGACGGTGCGATTTATATATTATATTGTGTACAGTGGTTTTACGGTCAATCGCTGCGACCGGAGACAAATGGGACTACGCGACAGCAGTGAAAATCGATTTGAATAATTTAACACGAAAGTAAGGACGATGAGTCACACGACAGAGTCAGCGGCGCCGACACAATGACCCCGGGTCGACTTGGCGGAATCATGGTTGTTCTCATGGGGGCACCCGGAAAAAATACGGTTTTAATTTCTATGATTTCATTCCAATGATTTACTATGTTTTTATTGTTTCCTTGATGATAAATGTAGAGCTATCATAGTTTAAACTAGAAGCTAATAAAAAAAAAAAAAATGATAAATGTATTTATTTCAAAGATGCGATGTCATGATAAATTTAATAATATTTTCTTTAATTTAGAAATAATAATGTATTATCAGTTTTAACGTAATATGCACGAGAAAACCAATATTGTTATTTGTTTATTGTTTTCTGTTTTATTCATGTCAAAACCTCGATTACTGCAGGTGTCATTTCCTTCTGCGCCAGTTGTAACAGAAACATGAACACTTTTAAGTTTAATATATTCTCTGTAGTCTGTAAGAGTCTCTTGTTCTAGTTTGAACACCAGATGAGGATCCTGACATAACGTTTGCACCATCGTGTGTTTGTGCCACAAGAGGAATATCAAAAATTTAGAGTTTTTTGAAAACAGAAAGAATTTCAATAGAAATATTTTCGGCTCCTCTCCCATTTGATACATCATAAAATCCAATGAATCGTTCACATAATATAAATTATATTATATTTTATAGATATTAGCCATTAGGAATAATGTACCTATCTAACGCATATTGATAATTGAGTTGTAATTTTAATTCGATAAATGATCAACTATTTTTTTAAATTTTTAAACGATTTTTTAGGGGGTGTTAAGGACCGAAAGTACCTCCCCCCTCCCCAAAATATATATACTACTATAGTCGGAGTTTAGTCTGTGACTTGTGAAGTCGTAAGTGCACTTGAATATCTGAATTCGAATAGTTCAGGTTTTTTTCATAAAAAATACACCTTTATAAAATATGTATGGTTATTTATCAAACTTTTCTTGGATCATTTAGTCTTAACCAGTCATAACTCATAAGACTACGTCATGAAGTGTCAGTGTGTCGCGGACGGATCTCAAAATCCGGCAAAATCTTCAAGAGCCCCACTGATGCGTGTGAAAATCTCGACATTAGATTTATCGTTTAACTAATAAAAGTGGCCTATGTAAATATATTTAATTTATTTTTCATTTTTAAATCGTTAAATTGCTTCAGTAAAGTATATTGTAGGTAGTATGTCTGCTATATATATATTATCAGATAGTACCTATTTATACTATTTACTCGAATTGTTTGGTTGATGCGATTATTTTAATTGGGTGGATGTACCTAATCGAACTGCATAGCAATCACCATGAATCAAAATATTTTTTTAAACCATTATCGTATTTCCGAGAATTACTAAAAATACCAATACAAATATTTATTAATAACCACTGCAACCATTGACATGATTTTATAGTTTATACTATAGATTCTGAGCAGAGATGAAGGTATAATATAGTATAATATTGGTTTTACAATGACGTGTGTGTCATAATAAGTACAATATTGTATCAATCATCAACATTTAGGATCGAATGAGGGTGGTTTCTGGTAAACTGTGCCCTAGTTGGTACTTTAAGGGGTTAAAACTTAAAAGTATAAAATTCCTAGTAATTTTCAAAATAATCTTTATAGATAAAACTAAAAAAAATAAATATAATTTATGCCACGAATTTACACCGTTTTACGCAGTTCGTCAGTATTGAGCTATAAGTTAGGTAATACAATATATGTATAAATTTATATTATATATTATATATAGGCAATTATTTTATTTGATATTTACAAAGTTTTCGGCAAAAATAGGTTCGACATACTGTACTATTAATAGCCAATATTGTGTCATTGATTTCAAACTTACAACACCCATTACATATAATGTCATAGTAATCAATGACGAAGTACCCTTGAAACCTAAGATAATACAGCAGAGTGACTTCCTCTGTTTTTTTTATAGGTAGATATGTCAATAATCATAACTAATTCCTAAATTTCCGAATCACAATGGAAAAAATGTAGACTACTATACAAAGTACTTATATTTACTACCTATAAAATAGGTAGGTATTCATATTTTCATTGTCATGTTCTATGGGTTGAACGAAACGAAAAAAAAAATCAATAGTCATCACTATTATATAGTATTATTCTCAGTTCGATTGTTCTTGGAAATGTAAGACTATATTATATAGTTTACTGCAAGTTGTTTGTTTGAAATATTCTGGTCACACATGTTTGACCTTTGTCGTTGGCGTGTTTCTCCCAGAGAACACTTTTCACAACTAAATAAATAGGTAATTACTAGGTAGACAGATTGTTAGTATTTTAAAATTTTTTTATTGTAACACGATATTATAATCCTATAAGTGATCAGAAATGTGGTAGAATTTTAAAAATCATTCTAAAATGGCTCAATTCGTATTTTATACATAATATGTAAAATATATATTTACATATAGTATAGGAATTTTGGTATTTTCGTATAAAAAGGGTTAATAAAATTTCAATCGATATAGTTATTCCGTTATTCGGTGCTTAAATAACAAGTTAACCTGTTATTTATATAGTATTACCTATACGACTATCGCCGAATCATATCATATAATAAATTCATTTATACCTAAATCGTAATAATATACAATTAATATGCAATTTTAAAACCCTAGATAAAATATTTAATCACCTCATTAATTATAATACATACTACCTATCGTTTATCAGTCTAATGGCTGTTTCCGAACTTTTTGAACCCTGTTTATATTATGCTTAATATATTTTACATATATATTAAATATATTATTAAAATTTATTATTTAAAAAATATTTTTATAAAAATGATTGAAGTCGATATTAGATTAAATTTAGTAAGTATGGATGGGGGAATATAAATTTGTTCAGATAAGTAAAGTTATTTTGGTTTGGTCAATTTCCGTGTTATTTGGATAAAATTGGATTCATATTATATTCATATTACCAACACCCATACTCATTAAATATCAACTACACTAATTATTTGCATATGATGCGGCCAAAAGCGCAATTGTTTGTAATGACTTCAGTTGAAAAAATAATCTAAAGAATTAAAAGTTTAAACACATTCATCTGACATGTTAGGAAAGTTATCCGTACGCATTACGCCTACTTACTTATCTACTAAGGACGATAGACTCAATTTCCACACGTAACCATATTAAACCCATCAAGAATTCAAGATAGACCATTCCGTGTGGTTATCCATATAATCTACACCATACTACTAAATAGGTAGGCGGAAAAAAAGCCCACGGAAAAAAAGCCTAAGGAAAAAAAGCCCAGAAAAAAAAGCCCAAAAATATAAATATAAATGTGAACAAAATATAATAATATATTAATAATACATTACTATACTATAACAGATAATAATCATAAATAATTGTATAAGAGGCATATATAGGTAATTTTATAAAAGAAAATATTAAAATTTCAAATATGACTTATACATAATATATAACTATTGAAAATGTTTAATGTATTTTAATTTAAGAAATATTATTAAGGTATATTATTATATAGAGGGTTTGATACTGCCATGAACTGATGAACCACCTGTCAATAAATTGCATTTTTATTACCCAACTATTGATAAGCACTTTTACATTTAATTTAATTTATATTGTTCGGTACTTACCAATATAATTTATATATATAACCAGTCAAAATGTTAAAATTTATCAATAACTGGGTAATATTGACACTCTTATTGTATTATTACAGTTGAAAATTGACTGACCTGCTGTGACTATTACTATTATAATTAACAATTAATTATTATTTTCATTATAATATATAATAATATATTATTATATTTTGTTCACATTTATATTTGTATTTCTGGGCTTTTTTTCCTCAGTGTATTTTTTTTTTTGGGCTTTTTTTCCGCGATTCTACTAAATAATAATGATTTTATCGACTTGGGAGACTTAAGGGGAGAACCTGTTTAAATGTTTCAGATTAGGGGACGAGAGGGCTTCTTCTTCTATGCTAACCACTCGCAACTTAGGTGCCTACTATTATGGTCTTAAATATGTATAATATAATTTTTATTTTATAGAAGAACTTATCTTTCTATTATGTATTTGTATAAATTCCTTATAAACAATAATAACAATATCTAAGTATTATTTATGACAAAAAAATTTAAATGATAAAATGTATTATATAATACAAAGTAATAAATAGTTTCAAACTATTAAATAAAATATAATATATATATAATACCCCTTCAAAACAAAATCCTGGGTGCTCCCCGATCTATTCTAAACCGAAGATATTATGTGGAGAAATGTTGACGGGGGCATCATCGGGGGGCCGGTTAGTCACTCGTCAGTATTCGGTTATCATCGGCACTCAGTTTTTCGCTATTGGGGGGGGGGGTCTTTGGTAAACTGGACGAAATAATAATATACAGGTGTGTGTGATCTTATGACCGTCGTAACGGTTTTGGACGTTTGTTATTTATAACGATGTACTATTATTCCACAGCTGCATTCAAAGGCTTCTGGACTTCAAAGAAACATCGAACTTTTTAAAAAAAAGTAAAAAAAAAATGCTAATGTATAGTTTCTCTTCACGTAATCCCCGTTAACGCGGTGGTTTCGATTTTTTCGTTTCGAATAATGGGACAAACGACATAATGTCTTACGGAAAGTACGTCGCGGTATACTCGTATACTTATATAGTTTTGAACACAATGAAAAAATAAATAAATAATAGAGATACGATGTGTATATATATATACGCTAGCAGACGCGTCGACTCTCAAAGGAAAGAAATTCTTCTTCGTATTTTTTCTTTGACTTAATTAAATTCCGTATAACCATCCTTTCGGCCGTAATTGTTGTAGAATCGTATTTCGGACAACAATTGCGGTTTGCGAATCATAAAATGTCTCAAACGCTCCCCCACGCGCTTTATCAACCGCGCTACGACCTTTGTCGGCTTTAAACTTTAAGCAGCTTTACTTCATAAACCGCTCATCGTGTTCAAAGGAAGATTATTTTTAGCCTATTAAAAGTTTCGTCATGATGGGTGGGCTTTAAAAAACGTCTTTCGACATACTTTTAGCAACCATTATGATTGTTGCAACTTCAATAATTATTGTCGAACCATGTCGGGAGACGTAAAATTTCACGAGTTTACTGTAACGCACATTGTAATATTTTTGTGTTTATATTATTTTATACTGATAGCTTAGCAAATATAGAACTGCAAGAATCGGCTTAAAATATCCAATAAAAATACAGACCGATACCATAGTAGCCAGTAGGTATAATATTATATTATTATGCAGTACTTCAGTGGCGTATATAGAAATAATTTTTGGGGTAGGCTATAGTAGATAGAAACTATAGCAATTAGTGATCTATTACTATTAGATGCTACTGTCTACTATATATATTTAACAGTTTCTATAAATATATTCGTATTTGTTATTTTTCAACAGGCTATGAGATACAACTTATAATAGTACCTAATAAAATATATTGTTGTTCTGTTTAAAAATACTGTAATTTCGGGGTTGGGGGGGGCTGCACCCCACTAGGCCAACCCCCTATATACGCCACTGCTGGCAGTCATGTGTATAATAGACGTATTCGATATTATAGGTATAATACCTACATTGTCGTCTGGTGTTGTTTGCCTTGTCCAAGGGTCAAGACAATCTTTTTTTCCCAACACACTGACTTCTGTGTCGTAGTGTAATAATTTATAAATAGTTTGGGATATATTTACTCGTTCATCTTTTCCGTTAAAGTTTTGCATCAATGAAAACTATAGCGAAACGATTATATTATAGTAGTACCAATACAATTCTTCCAACGAAAACTTAATATACTTTCATGTTTATTAGCTAATAGTACTGGATTTCACATTCTAAGGTTAAGACTAAGACATATACATGACATAGTTAGGGTATATAAATATAACAAAACGATTCTTTACGATAATAAATCATAATATTAATATAAGACATAAGTATTGTCAGCGTTAGGTTAACTTTTTTTTTTAATATCAATCATGCACTCGCGTGAAGCATAATATAATAAAAATAAATCGATTTAAAATTTTTAATTAAATTCCCCAGAAATGACTAACGGAATTTATGTCGGGTTTCTTCCAGGATTCATTAAATTATAACATTTAATTAAATGATTTAAATGTATATTATACCTATGTACCTATAAATGAAAATTATAATATGGCAGTTGAAACGTTTAATTGAAGAAGTTGGCAGATATAGTTATAGTATACAAGACTTATCCATCCGCAGGATAAAATCCCACACTGAGCAAGATATTACTTATAATCTAATATACCTAAAAGAACAAGTGAGTACAAATATATCATTCTAAACTTATAATTTACGAACTACCGATAAAATGAAACCAAGAAAATTATATGTACCTAATTTGCCTATCCATATCGCCCTGCTAACATAATTGTATTTAATAAACTAAAACGTAAAGTTTATAGGCTTTGAGATGCCGGAAATATGATTCTAATAGTGGTGTAAATTCCGGTAAAATGTTAAGTCACCTCGAACGTGTGCTTATTAGTTAAATATTGGTTCATGGCTGTCATGGTATGTAGCGTTTTATAATATAAAACATAATGAGGTACACTGATGAGGAAATAAATTCCCAAATCATTCAAATACCCTGTGCGGTTTGTATTTGTAAATAAATAATTGGGGGAGTTAAATTGAGAAAAGTGGACTGACCGATCTCAATTTGACATAATAACGAATTCAAATCAGTTTTAAAAAGTATTATCGCGTAACTAGGCCGATAATATTATGATGGAATATGGACAATTTGTATGTTTTATATTATATAATAACTGTCCAGTGTCCACCACCCATCCCCTTAAAATAAGAAAAAATTTAGAAAAACTATTATGGTAAATATTGAAGCCAAAACAGCTATTTATTTTTAACAATTTACTGATAATCTACTCGTACTCAATACCCATATAATACTACATTGTGAACGCCGACAGGGTGACAACATTTATCAAACACAATATTCAAATAAATTACTACAAATTATGAGGTATAACGATCAATAATATTATAATATTATTTTGCCTTTACATAGAATTCGCAAATTTTCTTTGAAAAAAAAAGGAAACAAGTTTAATTTATTTTAGATGGTATTGTGGCGCCAGCGAATATTTAGCCAGCGTATAACCGCATATAATCCATAATATTATACTCATTTTTTTATTGTTTTCATATACATCTGAAATAGGAATTTGGGTATATTACTCGCATAATAAAACTTTCAATACACCACTACGACATACCAGATACATTATAATACACCTAATTATTCTGATAAAAAGAAATTTAACATAATAACAATGACATATTGTGTAGTTGTGTTCACCACACGCAAAAATGATTTGCTTGGACGTCGTGTCGTCATATTATATGGAGCAAACTTGAAGAAACACAAAATGATAGGTAATTTATTATTTAATTTGAATATACTTAGACGAGGGTTCACGTCCCATGTCAGAGATTGTAAGTTCATAGCACACTTAAGGCGTTCGGGTTTTAAGTATTCAATCTTACGGTCTGACGGCTCTAAGACGGGCGAAAAATCCCTCTCAAAAGCGTAACAATGTTTGCGAACGAAATTTCAAAGAGTTTATCAACGTACACATGATGGTAAAAAAGGTTGACCTCGGCCATATTATAAGGTTCGCATCAGTGGACGATCAGCGTTTTTTTATTAAGCTGAAATCATAATTTAAATATGGCTATATCGTATTTCGTGGTATTACGGTGTATCATCGCTATACCTACCTACGATATTATTAAAATGTACCCAAGGCTATAATAGTAATATGCGTCTGAAAACGTCATTTTCGTATACCGGCTACTTGGATATAACGAGCGATGACACGTGTGATAGAGATATTGAAAAAAAAAAAAAATACTTTTTTGTAAAATTCATTGTATTTATGCCTCATTTTTACGCCCATAATACATAGCTAACTTATAGTAACTTAACATATATACGAACACTGTAAAGCTTGTAAAACTTTTAAAAATGTTCGCAGACAGTCCGTGGGGGGCGGGGAGGCTACAGCCTACTCTGCCAACCCGATATATTATACTCCCCCATTATATACGAATACATATTTATATATAGGTACGTTTAAGAATTACAAAGTTTAACTGGTAAATCATAAAATATTACATAATAATATATAATGATGTTGCAGATAATAAAATACATTAGGTACGGAGCGTCATATTTTCAAACTTTGTGGGAAGGAGCCCCTCCGATAGCGACAAATCACCGAACTCGAGGAGAAAACGTGGACTGAGAGACCTGGCAGTGTGCTGAGGGCGATCAATTTTTCAGGTAATTGGATTGGGATGTGCGTGTTCAGGTGTGATAGAATAGTAGTAACTAAGTATATATAGTTATAATATTATATAATACATTATAGTCGCGTTTCTGCGATGGTGTAATGTTACAATATTTATTTATTTTTTTAATTTGAAGACGTATTTCTCAAACATTTTTTTTTGTTTTTGATCAGTTTGCTCTGCTGTTTCGTTATATTAATATCAAAACACAGCATGTGTAGTCAATGTCTGGTATCGACATACACGCGTTGCCTACTATAGCACCGACTGTGTAATAGTTCATTTCGACGTCGAGACGGGCGTAAACACTTCGTAATCGGCCACGGTGAAATTGTAGTCACCCATCAGCGAGTTGGTCGTCGCGTTTTCGCCGTCGTACGAGTGCGGCAGGTTGCTGTAGCTGTCCATGTTTGCGTTGCAATTGTTGGCGATCAGCAGGTCGGCGCCGGCTCCGAATATCGGACCTATCCTGTAAGCGTACGTGTAATGAAATTAGTATTGTAGAAGTATTAGAAGTATCAAATACCGTGTGAGATTGGCAGAGAAAACTTGGACATTTTTTTAAGATTATAGTAACAATCGCTATAACATTCGCTTATAATAACAATGTATTTTATGAAATACGAAAAAAAGATTAATTAACTGGGTACTACCGGCAGTTTATAAAATGAAAATCCTCTAACATCGTGAATTGTCTTCATTATTATTTGGAGTTTGAACACACACTTTGCGTTATAAAATGTGGGTAGGTGCATCGTACAGAAGTTATTTTTAATATAAAAACTAGTAAATATATTTTTTGTTAAGTAATTCGTACGAACGATAATGAAAAAAATCGTACATACTACAAACTATGTACTATTTATTTATTTAAGTATTAAAAGTTAGAAAACTTAAACCGTGATAATTTATGAAATTCCTAAATTCTAAAATTAACATGATTACGTCGTATAAGTTATATCGCAATAAATGATTTAATAAAAATCATTCATATCGATAATGATTATTTTATGATGGTAACAAAAAATGATATTTAGGTATAGGTACTAATTTTTAAATGAGAAATAATATAAATTTTATTACACACAAAAAAAAGTCCAAATAGTTTAAAAAAATCATGATGTTAAATATTTAAATTGTTATGTATCAGTTCATCAAATAATTTATTAGGTATGTAAAATATCATTTAGAATAAAATTTTACTGGAATTTATTATTTTAAGCAGTGGTAACATTGGAAAATGAAGAATATGACGAAATAAATACGTTATATAATTAGTTCAAATCGAAAATTATATAGGTATTGATAAATGCATGTAATTTTCCACATTTTTAAACGTTAATGTTTTATTGAAACCCTTCACTGTACGGTATTGTACGTGGTCTGCTTCTCTATAATGTTATAAATATTGAAGACGTAATATTAAATTTATTGTTCACCAACATTTTTATCACCACTCATTTCTCCTGCCACCACTCGTTTATTTTTTTTTTATCATTATTACTTTGGACAGGAAATTATAATTTTTAAAGTGTAGGGCGTAAAGAGTTTCAAATGCAATACAATCAGAATAGAAATTAAATCTGTATACTTACTCTTGATGGTAGCAAATAGCGTAAGGTTTTTTAACAATATCGTATTTTATTGGTGGGGTGTCTTGAGTGGTGCTGAGCGAAAATAGGAAGCTCTTGTCGGACACCATGTAAGCACCCTTGGTGTGACTCTTACCCCACGGCACGTCACTGTATCCTCCGCACAGCCAGCCGTTCACGCCCTGCAAATGGAAAATAAAATATAAAAATCCATTTAAAACTCGTAAGGGACGATGATTCCGGGGTGTACCTATTTGTGTGCAAATGTAAGATTGTACAATATACATAATACATACATATGTATTTACGATTTCCGTGTACTTTTAATACACACATCGCATGCAAACCACTCGGTGTCATATAGATTTTAACGATAAACTTAAACCCGAGCTAATGGTCATAATATACTATTGTATATTAAATATTAAACTATTATAATATGCATACCTAGCAACTAGCAAGTGTTCAAAATGGGGTTAAGCGATATTCCATAGAATATTTTTCTCCCGACATGGCGACATACACCGAAGTGGTTTTATTGAAATACAAGAATCCAAGAGACACGCACATATTTTTTATAGGTATAATACCTACCTAATATTTAAACGCAAACAGTTGTAATGGACCGGTTATTGCTGCGGGGAAATATTTATTTATAAAGAAGAATTCCTCCTGGAGAACGTGCGTAGAGAATCTACAACCTATATATTCTACTATAATATAGAACGTAGTTATTTGAAAGGAAATTAATAATTTTATTGAGTGAACAAAAATAATTAAATGTATTTCGTTGTTATTGATTTTAACCACATGACGCACAAAGAACGTGTTAATTATTTTTCAGATGAAAAAGTAGGTACTCGATGTCATTAATATTTTTATTTAAATGATAAATTCTAATTTGCCATTGTTTGTTTTCAAAGAGGAAATCACGTATTTTTTGTTTTGTTTTGTGTTTTACAGATCAAACGAAAAACTAACGCTCAATAAAAACTTGTTAAGATCAAGATACCATCAATAGCATAAAGCAACGGGGTGCACCCGTTATGACGAGGGTGTAAAAATTAGAAGGGAGAACAATTTAAAGTTTTTTGTTTGTTTGTAGAAGCGCGATGACGTTTTTAATAACTAATAACATAATGAATACGGTCATTTGCACGTATGATTTGCATTTGTGTAATTACCACGAACACAATATTTCGACGAACTTTTATAATGACTATTTTGTTCGGTGGAGTAATAGAATATTTTGTACGCGTGTAAAATTGGGAAACAATTAAAATATTTGTTTGTTGTTCGAAGTATGGGGTAAAATTAGAGTAAACATTTTCCAAGGGCCCATAAATTACATTTCATAATCAAAATGTTATTTTACACCTGGTCGACCGTTTTATTTTAAATTCCAAAGGTTACACAACGCGAAAATCACAGCTAATACAAATAGGTATAGTATGGATAGAATTAAAAGTTTAGAATATTTTGGGTAGGTACCTGCTTGCATAACAGGATGATTATAAAGGAATCGGTATTAAATGTATATAGTTGAATAATATGATATTATTTACCAATACTAAAACATAGGTAGGCGACACACCGTCACAGTGCTTGTGAAATGATTCGGCGGAAAATCCGTCTGTGGACGCTCTGTAGATCAACCTCCAACACTGTTTCACACTGCCATACCACTGGTTTAACACGCGTTGCAGGTGGGTTTTATCCTAAACATATCACATACATTTTATAATATTAATAAGTGAACATAGGGGGAGGGGGGCGTAATATGACATAATATTGTTTTTAAGACAGTATGTGACTATAACAGTTTTTTTTATTATCAGGGCTTGGTATCAGTTATTCGGGTTTCGGATGCTGGATGTATTCGGGTATTCAAACACCACCAAACCGGAATAAATAATTTTAACAAACGTTTGGGTATTAATAACCGTTATTATTTGGGTTAATATTGGTTAATACGGGTGTTCAATAGTCTAGAAAAAACATATTTTTTTTTTAACAAAGGCAAGGCCCCCCAAAAATTGTTGAGCTCAAAAAAAAAATGTTAAAAATATCTACGTATATTATTTATCATATAATATAAATTCTTATAATTATTATATTCCTATATTCTTTTTGCATGAACACGCGACATTTGTTTTGGACCAAACTCGGTTTGTAATGTTTAATATTTAATGTACAGTAGTTAGTACTTACATTTTTCTAAGAAACTACAAGAACTAAGTCGACGGATCTATTAAGTTAGTTAAATTATTAAAAATAGGTAGGCCATAGGGGCGTAGATCCGTAGGGAAATGAAATAAAATATAAATTTTGATTTCACGATTTCCGGAAAACTGGGAATGCCCCCTCGCTGTTTATTATAATATAATTTATAAGAAAATATTACTAGCGACAGCCTTAGTTCTGACACACACTCACTTGACTTAAAATATGAGACCCTGAAAAGAACTTGAGCATGACTCGTGGCTGCAGACGATGGTCGTCCGGTATCTCTTTGAATTTGTTCGGTAACGCTGCGAAACGGTACCGTTCCAGAGACATTTCTATGGGCACGGCACCCGTCGGTTCCACTTCTTCGGCAAACACCTGAGAGTCTGTAAGCGATCAATCAAAACGTGAACACAACCATTCAACACAACCTGATTTCAACCACTACCGATTGGCAATTACAATGGCCGATTATCGAAATATCAGATGCGCTTATGATGTAATATACATGTAATATAATATTTTATTGGTTCCGAGATGTCAAGAGACGTGCAGTTATAATCAGACTTACTGATAGTATTAAACGATACGCGGAGAAGGCTTTATTTTTCACTGTATATTTGTATATACCCATGATATAAAATAATATGTTTAATATAGTTTGCTCCAACAAATCTTAAAGCAAAAACGATGTTATCACTCGACGTTTCTGACCGAACAGATTATATATTATGATTAATAACGTGTATCGTTCGAGTATAATAACGTCAGGATTAACGGATAAATGTCTCGTCAACACAATATAATATATTATTATATTTAAATAATTCGTATTTAACGCGCATTACTATAATAATATCGTGAAAACAAAGTAGACGTTTCACCTATCAACAATAATCTGACGTGATTGATGACTCCGGATAAATGTTGGCACACCCTGGCCCGTTCCTCTTCGGTCCAGTGAGCTGTCCGCTGCACCACGCCAGCGTGAAATTTCGCCCAGTTCACCACGGCTCGCCATACGTCCTCTTCTTCGAGCGCTAGCTGTAAGTAGATCACACACACACACACACACACACACACATCATATTAACATCAGGCACTTACAGGTAGGTGACAAGCAGCTGATCGTTATAGATAACAATATTTTCTAAAAGGTAAAAAAAAATAAATCTATGTATCATAGTTGTTAAATCTGCTTACGCAATCCGACGATATGAGTTTGATCAGAGATTCCTTGGGTAGGTTCAGGAACGAGTTGGTCTTTACGCATTTCGCCGCGTTCTCGCCCACAAACGAAACGCATCGATCGACGAAGGACTTTGCGCCCTTTCCGCCTGCTAACATTCAATCATAAGTTACGCCTATAGTATCTACTGCACCTTGTATATTAGACTTGTCTACATTACATTACATAACGATACTTAACAGCAGGGTGTGGCTTGGACTACAAAGTGACGAAGTTGTTTTTAAGTTTTGAGAAATTTTAGTTAGAATATTTAACATCTAATTAAATTCCAAGAAATTAACCAATATTTACAAACCCGATAAGTATCAATAAGACTGTAATAATATACTCACTTTGTCATATAGGTTAGGTATTACTTATTAGCATTTATTTTATAATACAATATTATCATACTATAGTCTATAATATATTAATAAAAAAAAATTATTTATAACACTTAATATAATATTATATCTAACACTTTCGGGATGGGGTCCATACAATATTTAACCATCAAAGCCCGACCATTATTCATAGGAGATATGCTATTTTTTTACTTATTAACATGCAAAGATCACCTAAGTAATCACAACCAGTTGAAGTTAAAAATGTTCGTTTTTTAATTTTTTCTGAACTGATTGTTTCGATAGTTAACAATTTTTCGGGTGGTTTTGTTCAAATATAAAATACAGGTGTAATATTATATCCAATTATAATTATAACATATAACTAGGTATTTTATTTTTTGTCACAAATGGAAACCCTATACAAACAAAAGAAATATTTGTTTTTCGTGAGCCAAAAAATCAGTAGTGAGTCCCTATTTAAAAATTTGGTTTTGAGGTGCATATCTTCGGATACAGGATTACCTGTATGGCTGTATACCAAATTTTAGAACCATGAGTGCGATAGACTTGGCTGTGGATCGTTTACCCTCACACAATATAAATATTGCATTTTATTAATATATATAGTTATATCAGTTGTACTTCGTTCTTTCAAATCAAGTGGCTGTCGATATTTATACCTAATACTATCCAGTTAAGAAGTAATTAGTTTGGTTATTCCCACTATACCACTATATACGAACCGGGTTGTTGAACATATTTAAATAAAATGTATTAAGTTATATTTTACTACCTATATTATAAGTATATTTAGAGATTTAATAAACAACATCCTTAAAAAAAAATATGTTTTTGGTTTGGATTGAGCTTGATTATAGTATAAATCCTAACACTAGTGATTTAGATATAGCTTTCACTCCTGATTTACGATTTCGCAGGAAACACATAAATATATTTACCATCTGCGTATAATATATTATGAAAGCATATATGGTATAATCGTAGAAAATATTATAGGTATATTTACTGGAAGCTCTGTCCTGTATGTCCATAGCTGCAGCTAAAAATGTGCAAGCGTTCAACACGGACATGGTCGAAGTCACGTGCTCTTCACAATTGTTTTGCAGGTCTTCTACACCAAGTTCTTGAGCCAGAGTGAGCATTTCGAAAACCCCGCCATCTTGCAAAACGATCTATATAAATGTAAAATGCCAAAGATGATCAAACACCGCGGAAAACAAATCATTAATAATAATACATCAGCAAATCGTATTCGAGATGGTACACGTCAACGCCGAACACATTGCTCAGTCAGCCCCCACAGAAATAAAGATAGGTTTTCGGGTTTCACGTCGGGCGTGGTTAACAAATTTCGTTTATAAATCTTCAGGGAGTATTTACAGCTGAGAACACTCGACGCTCCACTCGAGAACGGCGAGATAGGTGTACTCGAGATGACATTACAGTTTGGTTAAAAACATTTTCACGCTCTTTTGTTTTGAAAAAGACATTTAAAAGCAATTTCTGAAAATATTTGACATATATAATGTACTTATCTATTTAAGTCACTGGAGGAGACCAGCGTAGGGGGAAATAAACTTTTAATCTACCATATAAATTCGAAGCTTGTGACGTATTTTAGTATTTATGGCCATAACATGACTAGCTATAACCGCGAGTGAACTTAGATCGATAATACTTTCAATTTTGAAATTAAGACAAACACAATAAGACTTTGCCACTTATGTTGTTTATTGGCAATAATAAGTTATAGGAATTAGAAACACACACATACATAAATGTATACATGATGAAACTTGGATCCACATAAGAAATCCCACACTCATGAACTCAGAAATTCATATTTTTCTCAATTACATAAATGTTAAATGCTAATGCAATATAAACTGGGCTCTAGAATAATTTTTATTGAAGTGATTACAAGACGAGTGAATATTAATAAAAAAAAAATACAATTTTTGACAGCTAAATTAAATTTAGAACGATTGCTTTGGTCAGAGTCGTTAATATTGTTCTATCGTCGAGAAATGTTGTGGTATACTCGGCTGGCACATGCGCGTACCCCTTTAATATACGAACATATTATAAAGTACGCCTTTTTATTATTTATCTCTGAGCAACGAACAAAACACCAAGCACACCGCCGCAGTACCAGCACCTGAACTTTCACAGCTAGAGCGACAAAAAAGTGTGTATAATTTTTCATGGGTGTAAGCTTGAACTTGTGACAGTGTGCCACGAGGCCGTAAATCACTATGGTACCGGAATAATAATTATGAGGGTTAAAGCATACTTTTTGGGGCCCTGGAAGTTCCACTACAACGTAATAAATAAACACGATTATAATTTTAATGAAAGTATAAATTTATTACTCTACTGGGTCACTGTATATGCGTGCATTATATACGTTCGTTTTTCGTAAATAAATATTGTGTAGGTAAATATTAGAATTCGTTCTCCTCATATCAATCGGACAAAACAAATATTATTTAGGTTTAAAAAAATCTCACAAGTTTTCTTTACGAAAAGTCTGTGGAACAGAATTAAGTTGAAACCCGAGCTTTTAATTTTAAATAATTTTACCTGCGTGTACGGCGTAGGTAGTCGTCGTTTTTCAAGGGAAGATGGGATAATCTCCATTTCGAAAGCGTGGGTGAAAAGGGTACCTACGTAACATATTCGGAAATTAAAAAATAATTACCTCAAAAAGGGAAGCATCTATCTGGAGATATTTTTTTCTTCTTCCTGCGATAAGAACTGAGACTAGAGAGTAAGGTTAACCCTGGCTCAGATTTATCCCCAAGCGTAACATTTTTTGGACTTAATTTTTTGTTAAATTTATAATTATTGTATAATCAAGCCTTTTACTAATGAATAGTTTTAAGATTTAATTTTTCAGTATCTAGAGGGGAGGAATAGTAAATGAAGTGATGTGCCAATCTTAATATACAAATAAAAAAGGATTGAAAAATGTTGCAAAGAGTCAGTAATTAGCGTTCAAGATCAGTGTTTCCAAGGGTGTGTGCGGAACACTTATTGTAGCTTGAACAGTTGAACTTTTTTAGACCCATAAAAATAGTAAAAATATTATTAAAAACAATTAAGAGTAATATTGAGAAATACAAAATGTTTATCTTAAGTGTGCCGTAACTTTTAGCAGGTAGCTATAGGTAATACTAATAATAATACACTGTGAGGAAAATAGGTTTAGAAACCACTGATAGATACATGTGTTTTCGTTTGTTTAAAACGAAATACTATTTGCAAAAAAAGAAGGCACGTTTTCAGACAAAAATATTGTTTCTAGATAGTTTTCTAAAAAGTTTGACAATACACTCGTGAGTTAAAATATTTAAATACGTTCATCTCAATGTTTACGATTTTTTTTTTATGATAGGTAGGTTAGGTTAGGCACTAAACAGTATGCTCAACGCAGTGATTAATGTATTCTAATATCACACGTACCTTGCCTGTGTACACATAATTGATGAACTGTTTGAAAGTCTCGCCCTGGAACTGTGGCAACCGGATAGGGGTTGGCGTCCCGGGTGCGGACGGCGATACAGAACAACCGGGTATGCGACATATCTCACTCCGCTTCACCGACTGAAAGCTCTTGCACCTGTAACACCGTTATTATTATCAAAATTGCACGAGGTTAAATGATATATAAAAGCATTGATTATGAATACAAATATGCCAGTTAAATAAATCAATAATTCCAACATAGAAAAAAGGCGTCACGTAGGTAAGACAAAACTCAAAAGTCGGAAATGCATTATATAAACAGTTGTACACTTTCCTTAACAGTCTATTTCCCTCGGTTATCAAAATAATAAATTATTATTTATTTATTTGTTCATTTTTTTTTCATCTACATTTAATACAAAGCAAATAAAAACCAAATACTAAATAGGTTTGTTAACCAAATATTTAATATCAAGTTATTAATTAATATACTTATGTATTAATATTTATTATATTTACTAATGAATTATTACTCTGATTATTATCAATTGTATATTATTTGGTATATGTTATACATAAAAATATTAAAAAAAAATATAAATACAAATATAAGTACCTAATATACACAAAGATCTGGCATATGAAAAAAAACTTAAATAACCTAAGAGGATGTTACACAGATATTTGTTGTCTCCGTCTTACAAATGCGTTTGTAGATTAAATAGTGATTTTAAGATTTATTATAAGGTTATTTTCATAAAATTAAAAAAAAAATAACAGGATAATACAAAACACTTATGTTCTCCGTCCAACTAAAAAATATTATGAAGATAAGTAAAGCAGCTTTCAACGAATTAAATAAACAAAAAAAAAAAATTACTTTGTGTTAGAACACATAGAAATGAATATTTTATGATGTTAATTATTAATAGGTCACCGTTTTGAAGAAATTACTATTAAAAATATAATTTTTTTTAATTCTACAATTTCTACAATGCACTTGTATATTGCTATTTATTAGAATTTTGTAAATTAAAAAACATTTTGTATTTAGTTTTTTTCTTATACATAGACTTGGGAAGTGGGAAATCATTCCAGTTTCAAATAAGTCGAATAAACAACATGAAAATATACGAATTACGATTATTTGTATACAAAAAGTTGTCTAAGTGTCTATTGGGGAAGCAAATTAAGAAAACGCTCACTGGTGGAAACGATTTGTACCTTCCTATATTCGGGATGTACAGATATAGATTTATATTGGTTATTTTACTTTTTATAATAGATTAATTGTGTTATTGAGACCTTCACCTTATACGCTGGTATTGTTAACTGTCTACGTTGGTAAGTACATGTACTATGTGATATTGCAATATCTACTAATATTATCAAATACATTCAAATACACTTCACCTAAAGCAAAACGTATAAGAAATGTTGGAAAAATAGCTCATAATAGTATCCCGACTCCACGTAGGGGGAAACCCCTCCTTACCATCAGTAAGACAGGCGTCAAGAGCGCTTCCGGTGCTAATTTGTTTTGCCAACAGTCTATTATTGTAATTTTTCGTCTGTTTGGGTTATAGAGTCTTTAGAATAAAATGTGTATTAAAATATAAACCATTTTAGGTTCACCACTGCTATTTTAATCAGGTATTCAAACAAATGATTTAATTACTTATAATTAAAACTCGCTTAATAAATACTCTACTATAATAAATTGTTCGAAGATCTTTCAATGGAACATAATATAAAAATATACGTATTTCTGTCTACATGTGCTGTAAATAATTGGGATGAATAGCGAATCGAACGAAAACCGATCGACAAAATAATATATAGGAGTTATATAAAACAATTATTTTTCATTATCTTATATGTCTGTACACGCATACACACAGACGTCTCTTACACTCTTACTTATTATTGTTTAGGTATATGGACACTCGTAAAGGCGTAAATGCGTAAAAATTAACCCAGGCGGTCTATATATATGTATTATATGTATACGAACAAGTAGTGTTGTGTATGTGTGTAAGAGCGGAAACTCACCGAGCTTGAAGAACCCGAGTGGTAAATGAATGGCTTTTTGCATTGTGCGTTGTGTTTCACTAAAAGCAATATTTCACAGGCTTATACATACACACACACACACACACACACCCGAGCGTGTTGGCTTGTTCTTATACTGTGGTGGTATACACGCTATATATATATATATGGCTGGGTCGGGTCGGGACCATTCATCATTTAAAACGTTCCAAGTACACGACCGTAATCCGACTATAGAAGCTGCAGCAGCACCGAGGACACCCTGGCCCGGAGCCCGCGAGCACTTCGGCAAATGTCCGCTTCTAACCCTTTCCTCGGTGGCACACACGCCCTCCCACTCGCCTGTTCCGCCAAACCAGCTACGAACACGAGGTGGCTACGGCGTGCTCATCTGTAGCGGGAGTTAAGAGTTATTATTATTGTTATACATATATGTATATATATATATGTTATAATAATATTATTATTGTTATCATGAGTACAAACGTATTCCGGGGCGTTATATTTATGTTGGTTTTTCGTTATGCGATCGAGTTTTATATTCTTTATTACAATTTATACACAATAATACTTTTGTGACGACACGAAGGAAGAATAAAAACAAATGCTCTATATAGTCGGGAAAAGAGAAAAATACTGTTGTCGACGAAATCTGCAGAGCTCTCAATTTCCGAAACGCGCGTTCATCTATATACACCCATTATAATATTATACACATACAATAATACATCTAAATCTACTACATATTTGCGTATGTGTGTGTGTGTAGCTACCAATAAACTATTATACTCCATTATTATACCAGTAGATACATATACGAGAATATGACGTGTATGATATAATGCATGATATCCGTATACACATTGTGTGCATCGTCATATGTACAATATGTGCTCGTGTATAAAATGGAAAAATATCTACTCGTGACGCATGTATATAGGTACATCTAACATATTATATATTGTGTAATGTGTATAGTGTGTATGAAATGTCGTAGTTTTGCGCTTAGCATCAGTGCTCTATTTTACATCAACACATTCGTACACACACACGCGTGTTCGCATAATGCGCCTACGGCCCGTGAGTTTTTTCTTTGCGATCTAAGTAGCAGGTCGAAGGGGTTGCCATGTGTGCGTGTGTGCACGCGCGTGCCCAGGCGTGTATGCCCGAGAACAAAAAGATCCTTATTATAACTTATTCCTTTGACTTTGACGCGGGAGCCGCGTCATTATCATTGAAAAGAGGTATTAAAAAACTTGGGATTTTTTACAAGAGCCCCGAGGGAAATATATATATACACATAAATATCTGCGTGATCGGTGTGCGTGTGTGCGTGTAATGATACTCTGCGGAGCTTTTGTTCCCCGCCCTTTGCTCAAAAATTCTTTTGATCTCTCAAAGGTGACAGTGCACTTCGCCCCGGCCGGGCCCGTATTTCGAAAATAATCAGACTTGGTTCAATTAGCCGGCGGTCTTGAAATTGCTACCAACAACGTTAATTATTGTATATAGACGTCGGATGAAAATAAAAATAAAAATAAATGTATGAAACGACGCACAACCCTTTTGTGAGAGTGGTACACTTTGTTGACGCCGGCATTGTAAGTAGGCGCGTTTTTCTTCGTTTGATTCTAAAGTAGGTTTTTCAATCTTTTTCCTATGTCGCTTTTGTACACACTTGTGTCATATAAAATATATAGCACACATTGTTACAACATATCAAACAAACTGATCTATACTAGTAAAATGTGTATAACCTTTGGCAGACATTTTTAAAAATATAATGAATCCATTGTTTTAGAATATTATAACTTTAGATACTGAGCGTGAGTGAGATAGGAAATTATTTATTTTACAGTGACGTGTGCATTTTTTGTGTCAGAAAATCAATCTTTATATCAGTACAAAAGCTCAATTTAAAGTATTACGAAAATGAGTAATATATAGGTACCTAGCTCGTTAGAATGCAAATTTAAAGCGATATTTTTCGAAATGTTTATACGAATTATTTTGACTTAAATTTTATACAAATTCTAATGAAATTAGGTAGATTTATATATATTTTAAATTAAATATTATCAAAAATAATGATGATTTTATTGGAGTAAAAATTTAAATTATTAAATTATAAAACCAACGTAGTGAATTATATCGGTTCATAATATAACCACAATGGTTAAAAAATCTTTAGTTTTTACTAAATTGTAGTGTTCTTCTACATATGCGGTTTGAATGTTTTTTTTCAAGCTTCATTTTAATTGTTTTTGTAGCTTTGAGTATCGAAACTTTACATTTTGCGAAAATGTTATTCATTGCTTTATGAAAAATCTTTAATTAATAACTATTTTCACTAGGTAAGTAGGTACCTAATATATTATATAACAATTATTATTATATAGTTATATAACAGTTGTTATTTCATAGTCTCGCAGAGGCCCTATATTATATGCTTGTTGTGCGTGCATCTTGTACATTATTATTATTTAATAAAATACAATATAAATGTTAGCTATTCATGTTTATTACTGGTCCACAGTTTATTTTTCTTGTACACAAGAATTGCAACCAATAATGTATTTAGAAATACGATTTCCTTTCGACATTCCCTCCGAGTTGGATGTGTGCCGAGAAAATTAAACTCGATAGTTGAATTATTGGACGCACGCGTTTACGGTTGAAAAAGCATCATATTCGTTGATTAAACACTCGCTGTTGACGTTTTGAATTACGCTCGTATTTTATTCAACGCCGGTAATCTAAATCCTTGTAGTCGAAGCACACTGGTGGCGGCGGTGGTGGCGCAGCGGAAAGGTAAACTTCACTAATCACTTTTTATTGCCGTTCGGTGGGTTTATTTATTTTAATCAAATCATTTGTCACACTCGCTTCCGCGGAGCGGTGTCGCTGCTACGGTGGTTCCGCGAGCGTTACGTTACGGTGCGCAGAGACTATAATATAAACGACCTGCCCGTTTTCTCTCATTGTCTCGGATTCATCATTGTCGAAATAAACGAGGATCGAGTACAAAAGAGAAGCAGAAATTGTAAACGAGTTTGTTGGCTACGATTTTTTTCCCGGTTGTATAGTGTGTATATATATATATACTTGTATTTCCATTGTTTATCATCTGGCGACTGGCACGTTGGCTTGTACGATCGTTGGAAAGACAAACAAATACTTAGGTACTTGCTTTTATACGGTTTCCGATAATCCTACACGCACGAATCCCAATCGGTTAATAAAACACGAGGATAAAAAAGTGGCACGCTCATTCGTACTGGCTATGACGTATAATATTAAATATTGTCATCAAAATAACAAAACGTAAAAGCCAAGCACTCAATGCATATTTTCGTATACGTTATAGTGACATTTATTGAAACTTGTTGCTAATATATAAAAAAGTATTATATTTTTTTGTCTTAAAAATCAACAGTCATTACTTAATTATTCAAATCAAAATGTCCAATTTCACAATTTTTTTTTTAGTTTTTAAAATTCATTAAAAATAGTACCGAGAAATATCTATTTTTGGACTCTTTTCCATTCCCAAAATACTAAATCCGATTTTATACTAGAAACCACCCTGAATGTTGAATAATTATATTTTATGCTCCAAAACGTGATGATGGATAGTCATAAAAAACACATCATTGTAAAACCAATACATTCATCATCCAGAATCTAAAAGGGTGGTTCTAATTTGTAAAGAATTAAGTTTATAACACTATAGGAAATTTCTTAGGTGATATACAAAAATTCATTAATTTATAAATATGGCACTTAAGTAAACTTAAAATTCCGAAAATCAGAATTTGAATAAATTCATTATTAAAGGAAAAATAGGGGTGAATCACTCATGTGTATGACATATTTAATGTATAACAATTAACGTAATGTATCGATCTTATTAAATTTAAAAGTGCTTGCAACAATAAGTACACCACAAGAAAAATCTGTATTTTGATATGTCATTCGATGTTGAGACTTTCGGATGCTCGATAGGTTGCAGGTTTTGTCTGAATTTATTTATAAATGGTTGTAACTTATAACTTTATAAATTAGAGTATACAATTGTAATGATATAACTATAAAATGTATGTAAAAAAGAAAATACAGAATGTATTCATAGTTAAATACAATTAAGTTAAAATAGCGACTATAGTTATAATAATTATGATACGAACAGTAGTTGTTCAACTACGTCGATGAATAAGAGTTAAAATATATTTAAAGATAATTATTTGATGCGACTTCATGTAACTATTGTCGTTGTTCTCCCCACTTTTATGAAGAGACGAATTCGGAAAAAGAAGGATAGATATTCAGATATTCTGCATGATGGCATCCTGACTCATTTCTCATTCCTTTTGCAGTTTTGCTACCGTTTAGTTCCGTGGCGGAAGTACATCATTAATCATTATGTTAATATATAATGCACGTGGATACATGCTAATATAGGAATAGAGTATTTATATTGGATAGTAAAATATTACTTTGATATTTTTTTGAAGACATAAGTATTATATCAAAATTAACGTTATTATTTATTATAATATTATGTATTTACATATATTGTCTAATAATGCGTAATGTTTTGATATTTTTTCCATTGTTAAGTCCAGAATAGATCTGCGTATTTTAAAAATAAATAAATAGGTATGCAGCAATTAATAAGAAAAGTTCAAAAAGCCGCCTGGTTTAAGAGTACAAGCAGCCCCACAATGATACCGAGAATACCGTACTAGGTTAGGTATGGATCAAAGAACAGTTCAATTAATTGCATACAAAATTCCACTCAATAAAAGGAGATCTACACAACAAAATTCAAAAAAATAAATGAAAAAGTAGTCAACTTAAACCACTTCTACAATACTTCAAGATGTTGTACATTTATCATCATCTGACGATATGAACTACGTAAGTACAACTAATTCAACGATATTTATGTAGGGTATAGGAACCGATTTTTTAACAATTACTCAAATAAATAATAATAGGCAACAATAAAAAATATGTACATATTATATTATTATATGTCTCTTGAAAATTGGGGTTTCGACCTTCGAGATATTGATTTTTCTCCGACTACATAATAATATATTTGTCTCGTTTATTACTCATAAACACCTCATACCACAAATATTTATTAATGATATAATGTTCTTTACGAAATAAACATAAATAAATAACTAGGTTATATCCTTTGCTGTAACTAAGTTAATGTAACTATCCTATCATTAGCAACCAGTTACAACTAATCAAGTAACCTGACTATCCCTGCATAATGCATAACAATTTATAATAATATATGACTTATAAGCGATATCGGTTATAATCATGAGCGATTTATTTATTCGTTCGTTTGTAGAGGATCGATTGAAATCCGGGGGATGCAATATTAAATAGTAAATACATTGACTGGATGTGATAATATAAAAATCAGTATCTGCAATCCCGAGGTTAGGTGTATTTGCGTCAGCGTTTCCGGACTTTCCCCCGTATTCACTCGAATAGGAGGAAATTATAAATTTTCCCGAGTGTAAATATTGAATCACGACTCGTTCCGACGGAAAAATATTTTTTCCACGAGCGCAAAACACACACACACACACACACACACACCACACATAATATATGTATATAAGTATATATACATTATATAGATATAAGTACGGTGTTTTTCGCGCACGCACAATTTATTCGACGTGTTTGCTTTTACGCTGCAGCGTGTACAAGGGTTAGATTTGTCAACCCTCTAGCGGGCGGAGTATATACAATATTAAAGTCAACGAGCAAATGGGTTTTCTGCTGTAGACGTTGTTGCCGGTGATTTTTTTTTTGATTTTTTGATTTTATTTTGCCTGCGAGAACCAGCGGAAATGAGTATGTCGTCTTGAACGGAAATCGGTTTTCCACAGGAAAAAAAACCAATTCGGTCTGGCCGTATATTATATTACATACACGGGTTACACCCGGTAATGCGAGGTAATAGGAAACGGCGAAGTACGTATAGTACGATATATAATGGTTTTCACAACCGTCTTCTTTTCCGAGGCACACACAACACTATACGGAATGTAGAGATCGACAAGTCGATATATTATATTATTATATTCTACATGATGTGCAGGTGTCTACCCTAATAATTACGTTTTATTATTAAAGTGCACAGATTCTTTTATGGATAACAACGTTTGAAATAATATGTGGAAGTTTGAAGCAATATATAGGGAGTAGGTCCGTCCGCTATATAAATATAATAGATGTCTCAGGTTAAAGACTCAAATGGCGTAACATATATAATAATACATTACACGATTCAAGAAAAGCGTAGAAAACAAACTGGTAATTCAATTGTCTATTAAATTGTTTATATAACTATACGATAGATAAAACATGAAAACGTAAAACTATATAAGTACACCCGCCATAAATACTAAAATAATAAACGCATAAATATCTACTAACCTAACTTCTATTACTAATCTACTTTAATTCGTTATACAGAATTTAATAACATTTTGAACTTTATTTTAATATTGTATTGCGTTTTGTATTATGATACGCCATTTTTCTTCTTAGGCGGTATATACCTATGTCATATACTATATATTTTTATGATATTAAACTATAATTACAATATGATAAAAATAATACTGTTTGTCACTATGCATTGCAAATATTAATATATTATATAAATTGAGGTATATATCCCAAATCAATATTATAGTTTCGTAAATAAAAAATATTTAACTAACTGGGTAACCGAAAAGATGAAATCTTTTTCGAAAAATAATATTATGTACCTATCATCTCATATAATTACCTATATAAACTTAAAATTAATAACACATTAATTTATTAAAGTATATACATTTTGATTAAAAATTACTCGAATCCTTAAAATAATAAAATATATATTAGATGTGAAAAAAAAACACGATTATAAAATATGTATACTAATTGCCAAGTATAAAGAGACCGTATTAGTTACAAAGGTATGAAGACTGCACCTCGTATACTATTATTACCAATTTCTTTGAACAGCGTTGTGCCAGGTTATATTACGTTGATTAAAAAAGCGCATTTAATATTTTTGATTAAGTATAAGGTATAACATAAAAAACACGCGTGACTGAGAGAGGATGTACAAAACATATTATTATTATTTACATCACCTCATTCGGATAATCGTCACAATAAAAAATATATTTTTTTTTTTTTATTAATTATCCTGCGGCAACATAGGCCATTGGGAGGGGGTGGTACTGTAGGTTTTGGAACGGTAGGTGTGTTACACGTGGGTGTATTTTTGGCAGAATTTCGAATGGGGCACCCGTAGGTTTCTGCCATGCCCCGGAGTGGGGGATGGCGGCACTTGTTCTCCGGACACAGTGACTTGCCCGGAGAAAAATGCCGCCCGGTGGTCGAGAATCGAAACCGCGACCGGCAGCGCCGCAGCCGACGCGTTAGACCGCTCGGCCACCTCATCCCCATAAAAAATATTGTTCAGGTACGTTAGTCACCTACAGTAATATACGCAGGATTTTTTTAGGTGGGGGTTGTGGACTTGTGGTAATATTAATTTTTTCGGAATTACATGTTTCTGATAATAGAAGAGAGAGTAAATTTGTAGAAATACATTTTCGAGGGGAGTGTGTGTTGTTCATGTAACCCTTGTAATGACACCATGCGGATCCCTAGGTAGGTATTGGCACACACTTTGGGAATCATTGCAGTATACACAAATTATTACACAATATTACACAAATGAGGTAAATTATAAATCTAATAAAATTATTTGTGTTGTAGAATACAATATTATAGTACTGCACAGACTTACACTCGTAATTACTAATTTGTATAGAATATTTGCCATGGTTTTAAACTATCGTTTTTGTTGTTATATATAATATTAATATACTAACCTCGTCATTAATATTATTCGATGGGCATAAACGGGCACTTCTTCCCGACCAATAAGGAACACAATATCGGCTGATTCATGATCGTCGGCCAATTTTTGCAGGTCCTCTAGCAGCTGAGGCACCCCGGCGAACGTCTTGTCCGAAAAATGCGCTGCTGCCACTCTCGTGCCCATGTTTCCGTATTTTCGGCTATTCCGCTACTATAATACCCTGCTAAGTCCGTTTCGACGCCATTCGATCGTTCGACCCGGTGAATACTAAAAAATCCATTAATATTAGTCTCGATTTTTTTTTCCGACCCAACGCAGAGGGGTTCCCGTACAAATAAGTAAATCTGAAAAATGCATTAAACCTTTTTCGGAACGTTTAAATACGTGTACAATATTATTTAAAAATTCCGTTAAAATGTTTTCTGGTATAGTGAAGTGTGTAAGTCTTAAATCAAAACCATTCGGTGACAACAATATTATAATAATATATAATATATATAATATATAATAATATATATATATATACTTTCGAGTTTCCTGAATTATGTTTGAGACTTTATAATATCGCAGTGACACGAAATCGAAGTGCATAGGTATATAATATAATATGGAGAAAAATATTAAAGCAAGAATTCGAATTAAAATCGCAATACTTATAATTTATAACATCACAACCCCCTGAGCGCGGTTTGCCACCAATTAACTCGTTTATGAATCCAATGAAACATAAATAATATAATATTATTGTTACAAGGTCTACAGTGTTTGTACAGTGCTCGCCGCTCGGCGTATTATCGTATATCGCGATGGTTTTAGCCGTTTAAATCGAAACTGAAGGTGTAATGTTTTCGTCGTCATTAGTAGGTACTTAAGTACTTACTTGTTTCATAAGTTATAGCTATAACGATGTTGTCGGTTCAGAAATCGCGTAATATGGTATATCTCGTCTATACAACGACGTCGCTACTTTGTGCGAAAACAAAAATCTCCGCCTATACTCGTAAAATAAATATAATATTGTAATGTCGCTCACCAAAAGAGGAGAACACGCTTTGGAATCGGCGGCACGTGAAGATGAAAACTGTGTGTACCGTCTCGTGCAATCTTGAGCGGTGAAGCGCGTGGTACGAGAGTCCCGGTTTTACTGCCTGGCCGGTTGCTCCGGCATCGGATCGGATCCGAAAAAAAATAACGTAATATTTCTTCTTCTCCTTACCATTATTATTATTATTATTATGGCTTACAACCGGTCTTGCAGTGTAGCCTTACGACGGGATCACCGCCGGTGGCTCGATTTCCGAAAACACCGTATAAAACACCTACCGGCCGTAATGGCGCCGGGTCTGAAAACTCTACGCCACTATCCCGTCGAGGTGATGTGCAACCATTAACGTCCAATATTCAACGATTATGTTATAACATTATTATTTTATATGCACCGCGATGCCGATGCTCTTTGCAGTGCACCTGAAGAGTACAATATCGTAACAATTACAATATTATTATAGCGGTCGGTATCGGCTGCAAAACGGACGAAAGAACTCGTTCGGGATTTGCGAACGTATCCGACCGGTGGACATCACTGCGCGGTGCGGAGGGGAGGGCAATCCGGTTTTGTTGTCGTCCGCCGCCGGAACAATAAACGCAGCCCCGGGGAGAGAGATGATGATGATGGTAATAATAATAATATAAGCCATTAACCGTCGTTGGAATGTTCGGGTCTCTCATAATATATAATATACTTATAAGTGTGTGTGTGTGTGTGTATGTTGTAGTAGTAGTAGTAGTGTAGTAGTAGTACGCATATAATATGCCGTATAGGGCGAGTATAATATATAACAATAATATATTATAACACGTGCGCGTTCATAATTCATATTTTATTATAATAAATGTTTTCGATGTACAGGAGGTAGTAATTTTCACTTGAATACTCGTATACGGGATTACCCATGTAACTGGCTCACACTAATTTTCTTAATCTCCCGAGTCAAATTTTTGTATTTAAAAAACGAAATATAATTATCTCTCTTTTGTCTTTTCATTTTAAGTTTTTCAATTTTTTTTACACACAAATCCATATAATTTTAGATTCTGAGCGGAACGATGAGTTATTGATTTTACAGCAATGTGTTTTTTTTTTTTTTGTGTCTGTCATCACCATTTGGGGCAGTAAGACTAGCTGCTTCGATTTTTATCAACAGACAACAGTATCTTGTTCGATGGTAAAGTGAATGTAGTTGGTGCATTCAGGAGGTCAAAAGTAAAAATGTCCCAGTAGTTTTCAAAAGCGCCAGAAAAAACATGAGAAAAATTAAGGAAAAACTGGAATTTTTACGCAAAATCGATTTTGGTTTTTGGTGTAACTCAAAAAAAAAAAACCGTAGATACATGAAATTTTCACTGAACATTTATATTAGCATTTGCTATACGCCATAAAATATTTAAAATATTTTGATTTGTTTTATGCTGTTTACGGACAATATACATTTTGAATTTTTTGAATTTTTTTCTATGAATGTCAATAAAATGTTATTTGTAGGGTAAAAAATAGTGTGAAAATTTAATGCAAGGCTCTTAATATATTGTTACAATGACATTTGAAAAATATTAAACATCCATAATCACAATTTTTAGATTCTGAGTGAAACGATGAATGTATTGATTTTACAATAATGAGTGTTTTTTTTTTATTTATAATTTTAAATTTTTTTAAAATTTTTTAATTTTGTGCCTGTCATCACCTTTAAGGACAGTAAAAATGCTTAGATTTTCTTCAACAGTATCTTTTCTGATAGGAAAGTGAATTTAGTTGGTACTTTGGGGGGTCAAAAGTAAAAATTGTCCAGTAGTTTTCAAAAGCTTCGTGGAAAATAAAAGAAAAATTAAGGAAAAACGGAAATTTATACACAAAATCTGTGCTCGAGAAAATTGATTTTGGTTTTTGGAGCAACTCTTAAACAAATGACCTTAGGTAAATGCAATTTTGACTGAATGTTTGTATTAGTATTTTCTATACACCATAACATTTTGACTTATTTTGAGCTCTTTACGGACATTTTTTTTAGTTTTTTTTCTATAAATATCAATACAATTTTATTTGTTGGTTAAAAAAGCTTAAAAATTTAATAGAAGGCTCCTAGTATATTGTTTCAAAGGTAGATGAAAAATTATTTTTATAAGCATTTAAAATTCAAATATTGACAAAATACTTAAAAATGACGAAAATTTGCAAATTATTTTGAGTTAGAAATTCATAAAAATTTTTTTTTTAAATCTAATATTTGAAAATGTAATACAAGATTATTTATAAGTTTGTCTATCTTTATAAAAAAAAAAATGTCTTCAAGCAAATCAAATTAAATTTTTATGAGAGTTTGAATTTCGTGTTTTTAAGATATTGGATATTCACTCGATTTTTCACAAAGCGATGATAGTGTTATTTTGTTGTTATCCAAATAATGAATAACTGTAAATACATGAAAATTATACTAAATGTTAATATTTTCATTTTCTATACACCATAAAATTTTTAAAATATTTTGAATCATTTTGAGCTGTTTACGGACATTATCAGTTTTCAATTTTTTTTTCTATGAATATCAATAAAGTTTTATTTGTTAGCCAAAAAGCGTGAAAATTTAATACAAGGCACCTGATATATTGTTACAATATGAGTTGAAAAATACATAGGTACATATTTTTTTTTATAAGTATTTTAAGTTCGAATTTTGACAAAATGTATCAAATTAAAATGTAATAATTATTTTGTAGTTAAAAATGTATATATAAAATGTTCAACTTTTAAAGCTAAAGATTACAATTTTAAAACAAGGTTCCACCTAAATATGTAAATATATAAATTACTTTATTCACAATAATATCATCTAGTAAAATAATATGGGAGTTTGCCAATTGCGCTCTAAACATTTTAGGGTCGATATACCAATTACGCTCTAAACATTTTACACTACCTAAGGAAAAGTTATTAGTTAGCTATAAATTATAATATAATATATAATAAATGATTAGACTAACCGATTTTTTGCGAGTATTAATTCATAATACATATTTACATAATATCTAATATAAATAAATAAACAAATTTTTCTTCACATTTGGCAAGTTACTTTTTGATCGTCAATTAAATAAAATGTATGATAATGATAACTTGTTTTCGTCTCAAAATCACGAATATTTCCAAATTACTTTGTAGTAAATTTATAAAAATTCTTTCATCAACAAATTAAATATTAGTTTTAAACTAAAACGGCAATTGTTTTTATTATTACTGGTTTATCAGTTGATAAATAATATGATAACAATGAATCAATCCAAGTCATATAACCAGCTGCTTATTTCTTTACGACACAATAATTAGATATGACCACTTTATCCGCTATGGTCACTTATCTGTACACTTTTCACCTACATTTTTAATGCAAGCTTAAAATTAGTAGACCTCATACCAAGCTAGTGGTTTTAACTAGTCATATTTCAAAGCACTTGTAGTGTGCACGTTCATTGCGCGTCTTCGTATAATATTTAGGAGGAAGACTATCGTTTTCCATTTAGTACCTATAAAAGTTCCGTCCGTTACTAATTCATTATCGTGTGTGAAAAGTGCTTTAATTACACGATGAAATTTTGGTTTAATCACATGGTTTTGGTCACCATTGCCATCGTTTTCATCGTAATTTCGAAAAACGCGAAAAATGTCCAGACGAATCCGGTTGCAAATAATCAATCATATCCAGATGTCAACAACATCACCTCGGAATCATCTGATTGGGTTTTTTCAAATTCAGCATTTATAGGGGCTGGACTCCTAATTAGCCCTGTATATAGATTCAACATCCTCGACTACATTTGTGGGCCGGGTTACACTAGGACGTCTACCGGAGATTGTAAACTAAAATTTCCAGGCAAATAAGATTGACGCAGTCTCAATGAAAACGAATTCCGGGCTTAGAATAATATACAGGATGATTCACAAAGCAAGTGCACCACTCTTTTTACTTCAATAATGCAGTTTTTAAAAATCTGATTTTTAGAGAACTTTTTAATATACTCAAAGCCCATCTTTTCAAATTCTTCTGATTTTCTGTAATACTTAAGAAGTTTCATGTGGATATACAAACTAAAACCTCCCTTTTGCTAACGTGAATAATATTTAGAGCATCAATTTTCTAAATACTTGGATATATTAATTCAAATTTGAACGATTAGTTTTCGTTATATTTAACTTTGGGTAGGTACTAAGGATAATAATATTATGTTCATATGATAAAAGATATTGGGCTATGATAATTTAACATTTAAGTGATTAATACCTATTATTCAGCTATCAAGATTAATAATATTTGTAAAAAATGTTAAAAGTATAGTAAATTGGATCCAATATCATAAACATTTTATATTTTTATAAACCATTTTTTAGGACTATTATCTTTAGTATATACATTTTAATAATTATATTGAACAAGTTCAACTTGTTCAAGTTGTTAAATATATGAAGAAAGTAAAAATAGGAGTTCTCAATTAAAAACAGAAGTTTGTGTCATCACACAACACTCTTTAAGTATTACAAACAAGTTAAATAATTGGAAAACTGGACTTTGAGTATATTTTATTATTATTGTATATAGCTATTTGATTAAAATGTAAAGTGATTACTTATTATATGTATTTAAAATGTTATACATATTTCATATTTTTTATTGCAGTATATTTCTATATTTACAATTAAATAAATACATTATGTGTGTTAAGGAAATTTTATTTTAAATAATAAATATTATATTTTTATTTAATTTATTCTTCAAAAAGATAATGGGTCCCATTGGACATATTGTTTGAGTGAGGTCCTATGAGTTCACGATTTGAAATATATTTGCAATAAACAGTTAATACAATTAAATAAATACAAAAAATTTGTCTCACATTACTATAAAATATCATTATAAATTAATACATATTTTGTCTGTATGTACGTGCATCAATAAACATAATATTATAATATAATGCATAATATCGTGTGTTATTTTGTCTTAGATATATTTTTTATTCAACATTTTTTTATTGGGGTTAAGACTTGGACAACTATGGTCATTAGCCTGGGGGGGGGGGTACAGTTCGGAGGGTACGGTAGGTTTTATAACACGTGTGCTTATGTGTAGCAAGGATATGTCATTAAAAATCCCAAGTAGTAATCGATCCTATTTTCCGATCCTGTGTTCTATGAATATCAATAAAGTTTTATTTGTTGGCCAAAAAGCGTGAAAATTTAATTTAAGGTTCCTGATCTATTGTTACAATAGCAGTTGAAAAATATTAAAAATACATAGGCACGATTTTTTTTATACCATGTCACGTGTATTGTTCATGGGCTTCATCGCATAGCAGAAAAAATTCATGGACACTATTTAAAAGTAGATAAAGTAATTTCTAATGTGAAAACAATTTTTTGGAAGCTCCTTCTTGTGTAATTATATTTAAAAATACAGCACCTGATCTTTCACTTCCTCCGGAACCTATTATTACAAGGCGGGGAACGTGGGTAAAAGCCGCATGTTATTATTGCGAACAACATGAAACTTTGAAATCCATTGTTAATTCTTTGGATAAAGAAGAGGTAATTTCTATAAAAAAACTCATAAAAGTATTTTGCTGACCTGAGCCTAGCCGAAAATGTAGTGTTTATCAAATCTTATTCTGTATTTATCCCCGATGTAATGATTAGTCTTCAGGCAAAACATATGCCACTGTCAGATGCCGTAAAAATAATTGAAGACGTTTTTTTAAAATTGAATCAAATACCCGGTACAGAGGGAAAAATGATTCAAGAAAAGATGAATGATGTTTTAGAGAAAAATGAAGGTTACCAAACATTATCTCAAATTTCAAAAATTTTAACTGGAGAAGAAACTTCAATAGAAAACATACCTGAAAACTTGAGCTTTGGTGATTTAGCATACTTTAAATATGTTCCTATAAATTCAGTTGACGTGGAACGTTCTTTTTCGATGTTTAAAGTCCTGTTATCCCACAATAGGAAAAGTTTTACGTTTGACAATTTGAAAAAACACGTTATTGTCCAACGCAACTTCCAAGATAAAAATTTGTGTTAATCTTAAATATTTGAAACTAAAATATTTTGTTAATTGTTTTTTAGTAGTCGAAGAAGTTAAAATAATGATTCAAATGAGTCCAAATAATTCAAATAATTAATTGTAAGTTGTCAAATAAAGTTGAAAATAAAAAATAAAATGTATTCATCAAAATAATAAGTACCAACATAAAAATTCTTATTTTTTGTTTAAAAATATCCACTTTAAAATGTATATTTTTATATTTGCATATTTTTTATGCATATTTTGTATATTTAAATGCACATTTGGTGACTTTTTAGAGCTACAAGTCCTCTGCCCTAGTTATAATATATAAATTATTTTATTCCCAAAAATATCATCAAATATACTTAGTAATATCAAATGCTGACTGACCGTCTTCGCTCAGTATCGTTTTTCTTATACAATGATATTATATCATTGAATTCAGATTTAACACCATCCATTACAGTGACCCACTAGTAACCTACTGTACAGCAGAGGGACACCCACTTGCCCACCTTTTTTAAGTTATGGCCTTATATTGTACTGACAGTGCGATATGTGCATAATATAACACTATAGTAAATAAGTGTATAGTTTAATACTATAATAAAATTGTTCGTCGTTTAAACACTAGAGCTGGCGTGTATAGGTATATATAATATTTCGTGTCCCCGAGACTATGGCGACTGTACCGGAAACCGCAACCGACCGGTCGTATACCGAATAAAGTTTAAGCGGAAGCTTCCTCCCACACCCTTCCACAGCAGGACTCGGGATTAATAATGCTGCGGTGTGGTGTACGTATATATGTATTTCATATATGTATATATATAATATGTGAAAACGGCCGGTTGGGTGCCTCCGCCACCCCCGTTCGCTATAATTAGACGGGCAAAGTTCTACTCTAAGGTCCCCGTATATATAGTATATATACATCAAAACGCCCCGTTCGTAGATTTATGTTCAGCTCGTAAACCTGCCTTCCCCATCACAGCCTGTCTCAGTCCGTCGCTATACCCTCTATTGGGCCGTGGTGTATGACACGACTGCACAAAAGACCCTTTTGTTCGACAGCCAATCATTCACGTCAAAATTGCAGTCTTAAAAAACGATGTTTTTATTTCGTCCACCGACGACCGAAGATTTTCTACAATATTATGGAATTATTATTATAATTTACGACGGTTAAATTACATTTATTAATGTATTATGCACATGATTGGCGGGAATATACTCAATCTACTCAAAAATAATATTAAATAAAAAAATAGTTGGAAAACGCCTTACTTGTACAGTATGTTTCGAGTGAACACCATCACTGAGTAGGAAGCCACGTGGATGTATGGTGGTATGTCGATGTGTCTGTACATTGTACCTTCCTACTTATTTAATAATTACTATTATTATTTATAATTGCTCGCCACAATTGAAAACATAATGCGCAAAATTAAGATCATTGGGTTTTATTATCAAGGTATTTTTACTATTTCATCATCAAAACATTTTATTGTATTTTTAATAACTATATTATAAATATATAGGTAGGTACCAGTCTTGTTAAGAATACTTTTCAAATGTATTCAGAATACGTATTTAAATACTTGTTATCATTAGTATTTAAAATACGTATTCAAATAATTCCTTTTAAAAGTATTTGAATATAAATACAAATACTTTTTAATAGTTCAATAAATTTCATATTAAAATGTTAATTTTATTAATAAATAATAATTAATATATATAATTAAACACTATATGCAAATATATAGGTATTTAAACTTATTTATAAACGTTTCAATGACTTAATAATACTTTAATAAGTACAAGCAGATATAAGATAATAGTCAATAGATAATTATTAATTACTTATAGAATAATAGAATAATATTTTAGAAACAAAATTTAAAATAGTATATTACGAACAATTTGTAATTATTGAAATTTCGAGTTGAACACTAGAATAAAAGTATTTAGTATTCTCAAATAAAAATACAAAAAAAAAGTATTTTTAAAGTATTTAAAAATGCATGGGTCGAAAGTATTTGAAAAGTATTTAAAATACAAAAAGATATTCGAATACTTAACAAGACTGGTAGGTACTTATTATTATTTACACATTTTGCAATTTTCTAGTGATGTAAAAGTAAAACTGTAAGTTAATTAATAATAATATTATATTCGTATTTCGTATTTATGTATCTTGTAAGCTTGTACTTTTAAACTTGTTATTATTAAATGTATTATTATTTATAGCAATTTCATATTTAAAAATAGTTAAAAATTTAAATACATATTATCGAATCGAGCCCAATAATAATGATTAATGACTATAAGATTGATATCGTTTGGAAAAATATAATTTTATTTTGTTACTTACGGTTATTGATTTTCATAAGTATGGATGATCAAGGAGATGAACTTTACTACAAAATGTTTGTATCAATCACTTTTATCGCTCGACAGTCGACGGTGAACGTAAAAGTTTTGGTCTACTGTACAATCTGCAGTTTAATAAAGCTAATCTCTAAAGGAAATTGTGTATGGTAAAATAAAAATTGTTCATGCATTCAGCATTGATGCTATTAACATTCAATTTGATACTATAATTAACGTAATAACGATATTTAGATTTTAGTTGTTGACAATTTTTATGAAGTATCAATTAAAACATCGATTGTATATTACTACAATACACTAATACAATTAAATATTTTTGTAAGTGCCACAGTAGTATTGTTGTTTAATTTCATTTTGAATTTTTACTGGTTATTTTTTTATATTGAAGTTTAGGTGAATACTATTGAAGTAGTGTAGTGGTGTAGTAATATTATAATAAATTATGTGAAAATGTCTTTTAGCTCCATGCCTCCATCATAAATCATTATAGGCACATAACCATTTACCATATTGGTATATTGGTTAATTTTATTTGATGCGAATTCACAAATATAAGAATGTGAATTTCAGGAATATTTATTTATTTTAACCTTGACAGTGTTATTTTTTATTCTTTAACGCGTTTCTGTGAACGTGGGATAAGTATAATACATTTCAATACTTCGTAGAATACGATCAGTGGATGGAGGGGGGTACCATTAGAAATCGATGACCACAATAACAACGCAATAATAAGTTAAGATTTTAGTAAGGGGTATAGGTTAATTATATTATGATGATAAATTAATAATGTGATTAACATTATAATTACCTATCCCACATCACTATAAAAACGTGAAACGTTGTTACCATAATTTACCTATCTATATTATAATTACCTCTAATATTTCGACAATTGCTTATTTACGATTTGATTATTTAAGAAATATTTTTCTTGAAAATGCAGCTTTCTATTTATATTGATTAATATCGATTAGCTTAAAACTATATTCTATATTTACGTTGCATTATCCCTTTATTTGTATTATGTACCTTCGATAATTTACTATGAATGGAGCCACAGCGTACTAAATCAAAAAAAAAAAAATTGCCGATTCAGCGACGAGTCACCGAATTAGGTGTTTGATATGTGCATGCGTGACGCAACTTATTGCATATTTATCCACGGATAATTTGTTATCAATCATCATAATAATATTATGTTTTGAATATAATATTATACTCAAAAATAAGTATAATACCCATTATAATAATTACTATTATAATATAATTAACCACGAACCAAGACTTAGAATAATTCTGTGATAGCAACCTATATGGATAATTATGCGAGGAGTTGCATTGAGCATGTGAACATCGATCATCTAATTCGGAAACTCGTCGATAATATCGGAAACAAAATAATACGTTGTGGCTATATCCATAGTATATATGAACTAAGTTATGTACTATACTTATTGAGCTATACTAGTTATAAATATATATATTATAGAAGCTAATAATAAAAAATAAACAGTAATTATCAGTGATAAGATGGTAGTCTTTTATTAAGTGCAGGAAAAAGAGGGACCTTAAGTTAGTTATCATCTATATAGGTAGTATACTATTATATTATTACACGCATTAAGTGGTAAGACATTTTAATCGCAATTTGGTGTTGTATCAGTTATCACTGTCGGAGGCTGAAGCGAACAGTTTTTACAACATCGCTTGCTAATATATTTTATTTTATTCGAAAAATAATACAACCTATATTACATACATCACGATGAATTTGTTGTTTTTGTTGCTGGTCGTTTGCATAGCTATGGTAGCATACGGGAGAGATTCGAGACGAACTTCGACCAAGAGTCAACTGCAAATATCACCCACAAATATTCAAATGGATTCTGAAGGTAAAGACCGTATCAATGATAATTATATATTATACTCACGAAAAAACGGTGCTGCGAAAACCGCTTACAAAGCTGTGAATAAAAGATGGACACGGGACATTTCTATGCAGAAAGTCGAGGAAATTTTGCAGGAACCCAATAAGATGAAGGAGATTGGCTTAAACATTCTAAATTGTATCTTAAATAATAACATTCTACAGAAATTCTACCAAATGCGTCTTTTGATAAGACCCAAGTCGAAGCAGTGCCCAACAGGAATGGTTCGAAACAGTAGAGGTGAATGCGTTTTTAAGTTTGATGACGTTTGAAAACATATAGTATTTTCATACCATGGTACATTAATAAATTTTAAATAGGAAACTGTAATCAATTTACATCTGTAAAAATCAATTTTTTTTTTTTTTGTAAACTATATTAGTTTATAACTTTAACATGACGTTTAGCAATACACACGATTATAATAAAACCGTTTCCTGAAATTGTTTTATTTATTATTTATTTAAATTTACTGAATAATTGATGATATCGTTGATATGACAAATTCACTGACAATATATTTTGTTACCAAATCAATGGTTGATGTTTGCTTTTAAAATATAATAAACAAGAATCGTACATATTTTAGTTTTTATTTGTAATTATGACTTAGCTAACTATAGGTGTGGCTTGGTGTGGCGGTCAACTGCGGAAATGCTCCAAGTATACGTATCGGCTGGTGTTGATAGCTCCCGGATGGGTGACCACTCGAGATTTTTAGCTACGAATCCTTGCCACTCATAAGAACGTGTTTCAACCAAACCCAACCTTTCCTCCTCCCTACAAATAAAATAAAAACAGCTAATGACTATAAAGTTGCCGGGCTTAAACTCAATAAAAAAATTTAATAATAAAAAATTTGTTCAACAACCGTATTATATGTTGAAAAATAACACAGTACCGAAAGAAAAGGTTATTTTTATTTGATTTCAATAGATAAAATGATAACATTTCAACATTTTTTATTGATACATAAATACACTGTGTTAAGGTGAATTTTGATTTAATTACTCTGATTTGTGAATATATTTTCAGTGGCACATTCGTCAAACATTTTTTTTTAAAGTAGGTAGGTACATTAAGTTAATACATACATTTTTATCATTATAGGGCTATAGTATAATATATAGGTATACTGATATAGATATTATATTATATAGATATACTCTATTCGTGATCTAGTTATATTTGCACAGTCTGTGACCATGAGATGCTATATTGTACCTACATGTACATTGATAAACAATACATTGATTTTGGACAGTGGAAATCTGACAAAACTGTTTCCAAACAATATGAAATTATATACCATAAATAAATATACTAATCTCATATTATCACCGTACCTATTGTGTATAATATTATTATCGATGGTAATTATTAATGTGTAGGTAATATTATTATCGATGGTAATTATTAATGTGTAATATTTCATATCGACTGGTCTAAAAAGGTGGGGGCCACGTTCTTTACTATGTATATTTTACATGCAGTGGTTCAATATTACGTACGTGCATTATATGCGCCCAGTGGCGATGATTTGAAATCAGTCTTGTTTTTGATCGCCTCGTGGTGAATAACGAAAAAGTAGCTGGTGAAAAAACGTCACAATAACAATGAAATAACAATGAAATTATTAATTTTGCTACTGTCGCTGACTTTTGTAGCTACTTCGTTATACGCGAGGCACGTGCATGAAACTTCCACTAATAAAAATCCCAATTACAAACACCAAAATCGGATCAATGGCACTACAACAATCAACGGTACTGCAAAAATCAACGGAGCTACAAAAATCAAAGGTACTACAAAAATCAACATTACCACGTCGACCTCTCCCGTAGGACGAAATGCCAAACAGTTCCCTGAGTGTACTAGAACGAATATGTGCGGAAGATCAAACAGTACTACCACAAACACCAATAAGTTTCATACGAGTAATATAACTCAGAAGTATACCAAGTCAAACGGCACTGATACTATAACCAAGAAATTTGTGACTATGGATATCCAGACAACAACTGAATCAGATATGCTTCAGACAAGATTTTTTATAAATCCTCCAAACAAGAAATCTGCTTGTATGGATGGACTAACCCGATCCGCTACCGGAGATTGCGTTTTTAAGTTTTCGGATGATTGAAATGGTATTACCTACCTGTATTAATTAATTAATAGATTAGCTTGATTAAATAACTTATGTGTTTACAGTATTATCATATAAATACATTTTTTTTTAAAAAAATGTTAATTATAACATTAAAATATTATGAAAGCCAAAATATGCTTAAATGTTTTATGTGATTAAATACCTAGGTGCAGCAGTACAGTTATATTATAATATTAATTTTTGTTCAGAATATGATTATTAGGTAGGTATTGGTAAAAATTGTATTTAACATTTTGTTTATATAAAGGTACCTGTCTATAGTTTTTATTTGATTCCATAGTTATAGACTTTTTAAAATAAATATTTAACTAATTACTTTTTTAATTACAAAGGCATATAATAAGTCTATATAAATATAGTCATTGATGAAATTTAATACATAATATAATTTATACAAATATATTAAATCCATAATTTTTAATTTTTACATAGAAAAATAGATTTTAAATATAAGATAGGTAGTTTAAATTAAAGTGGTACCTATGTTATTTGAAATATTTGTTTGTATGAAGGCATATAAATGTATAACTAAAAGTAGATAGGTAATAATGTCAAAATCAAAAATACAAAAATGAAAATTATTCATCTTAAATATGCATATTAATAGATGCAATATAATATCATGTATTTTGGGGAATTATTTTGTATACTTTTATTCAGGAAAAATATCAATGGTTGATATACATTTTGTAATATTATAATATTTTTTTGATTTTATTTATTACATGCACCATAAAACAACTAAAATGAACATACAATTAAGCAGTTCAAGCTCTTTCAGGTATGTACATTTTGCATAATATATTTTTCACGTAGGTAACCTACGTATATATCATTTACTCAATTATAATAACGAAGCCAACCTGAGTCGTATGAAATTAAACAAAAACAATAGTTATATAGTGGCTCAAAATGGCAAAGCGAACAGTAATTTCTGTAACATTTTGTAAACATAAATAAATTCTTATTACTTAAAAATTTTAATCTTATTACGTTGTCACAACGTAGACACAAGGGTCCTTGCTTTCATTAAAACTTTTAACCTTTAAATATTTACCCCGTATTGGTATTAATTTTATTTACATGCAAATTTATCATTTTTGCTACCGATTTTTTAAAATAAAAATTCGATCTAATACCCATTTCTTTAAAATATAACAGACGGGGAGCTACTGATGGTTTGATCTCACCTATTTTAGCTTCCTTGAAATGTTCATACACAGACAAATATATTCGATATATAAATCGGCTGTTTTAATTCAGATTTTACATATTAAAAACAATAAAATTATGAAATAGTTTATAAATTGTTTAGCCTATATAATGTGTAATTGTTTTTTACATGTTAGAATCTGAATTTTCATAAGCTGATTTTTTTATAACATAATTTAATTATTTCAAATCATTTGGTGTTGGTGGCTGAGGCGCAAGGGTCAGTTGATTTTTGACACACCCCCTCCCCCCGAGCAGGTTTACGAATCAACCGATTTTTCTATCGTATTCAGCAGGCCCGATTCCATTAGCTATAAACTTATACAAATTTCAAGGAAGCTAAAATAGGCGAGGTCAAACCGTCAGTAGCTCCTAGACTATAAATTATACGATGGTTACCTTTACGATAAAAGTATTAATCTTAACTCATTAGTAAAAAAATTTTTAAAACAAAACAATATAAAAATAATAAAAACATTAATAATTATAATATATTATTTGGGACTCACATGCATATATAATTAACATATAAATATAAATACGTTTTAAGGTTTGTATATTATCTGTGTATAAAAAAAAACAAATGCTTGTAAAATATAACTGTACAACCCATACATTTTCACACGAGGTTCATTCGGTTCGAAATATAGAGATAAAGTAGTTATAGGTATTATTGATCTGAATGGATTTGGTTCTTTGACCTATGCGACCACGGTGAACTCGGAACTTTAATATAGACTTTGATAAGTGGAAACCTGTTAAAATCAATAACAAACACAACATAATATTAAATAGATAATAGGTTCAGAATAATAATGCTTAATATTAAAATACAACTATTTGTGATAAGAGAATGATATGTTTTATATTAAAAATCTCAAGAGGTGAGTACATAAATAAATTTCAAATGTTTAGAGTTTAGACAACGATTAGGTACCTATACACTCTGCTCGGTAGTGAGCATCTTAAAACAATCTCGTGTTCGATTATGGTCCGGTAAACATAGTAGATTAGTAGAATGTCGTTCGTGATAACTATCAACTAAAATCGTTACATCTGGTATTTATTTGAAAAAAATTAACATATTATAATCGTATGTGAAACGATGAATTTTATGATTAGTATTTTGTTGTTAGTCACCCTGGTCGCTCTTAGTCTGATCATCACACAACAGTGTACGTTAATGAGCAAGACAACTTCTATACATGAAAGGCTGATTGCCAACGAACATTTTGAGAGTTCACCAAGTGAATCAGAACCAAATAGCATCTTCGAAATAAGTAAAAACAATACTCGGATTAAGCATCACTTGAGCTGGGCTTTCGATGCACGTTGGCATTTTTTCTAAAAGTATAGGAGTATAGCTATTCACCATGCTAGTTTTGCCAAAATTTTCCAGCTCAGTCAGGAATTTTATCGCAGAGTGTGAACTACACGTACTAAATGGGCAGAAAGTAAACGGTTCGATGGCGAGGTGGTTACGTTAGTAATGTTTCACTTACTACTGCAGTTACGATTTTTCTACTGACGGCTTGATTAATTTTTGAAAAATTTGTAATGCTAAAGTTTCTTTTGAAATAAAATTAGCATAGTACATTTATCAAGAGATAAGCATTTATAGGTGTAAAACGATATGAATTAAAAGAAAAACACTAATCTAACAACACTCCAATAACCAATACTCAGTGTTTTATTAAAGTATTCTTAATAAATTTTAAATAGTGCTTTACTTTAAATTTTTAGAGCATTAATGCATTTTTATACTAGATTCTTGGTGTTTTTAGGTCATACAATTTGCAGCCAATTAAGAAGCCAGTTGACATAACAACATATAGAAATCAATTAGCTGCCCGGTCGAAATGACAATGTTGACTTCAATGACGAGTGTCTATATGTTTCTAAAAGATAATATTTCAGATAAGAACATAATATTATTATATCTTGCATTTTTATTTTAACAACAAATTTTAAAAATCGTAACACAAATTTGATAATTTGTGTACCTATATTATACTACTGTGGCTACTAAATTAATAGGACAAAACATTTAGGCCTCACAGCCCATGTGTGTAAAGGGCCCAGTGTTCTGAGCCTAAAATGTATGTTAAGTAATTATTTGTACTATTTATAGTGTAAAAATATTAAATTTTAAGATAAACAAAGGAAAATAAATTATAATACAGTGAAACATATACAGTGTAATATTATTAATTATTATCATAATATATAACTTATATTCTAACCACAAATTTTCTTAGATAAATAAATTATTTCGTTTCAATCTTTAAGTTTCATATTAATATTTTTTAAATTAATCAGACTTAAAACTTTCTTAGTAACAAAAGAGTTTTATAAAATATGAATAACTTCATGAGCTTTTAAAAATAAATAAATAAATCTTAAAGAAACCTTATTTCATAATTCATAGTAACATAAGCAATTGAGACTAACAATAGATTAATTTTCACCATAGTAACCACTTTTTCCTTTTCATACTGTTTAATATACTTATTAAAATTAAATCAATTTTATAGTAAATATTATAAACTTATGACATTGCGTATATTATATTAAATTTTACAATATAATTTATACTCAATGCTTATATTGATTAAAAAAAAAAAAATTTTTTTTATATTAATTATTATGTTTAATTTTTATGAAATATCACTATTTATTCAGTACAAGTATCTTAGATTCTTAAATCAACATCATCAAAAAATTAATTATTAGTTTTGAACGAAAACCGCAAATGTTTTTATCATTATAGTGGATTATCAGTTGATAAATATGATAACAATGAATCAATCCACGTCATAATATAACCAGCTGTTTATTTCTCTACTATAGAATATAATAAGACATTACCACTTTATCTGCTATGGCCATTTTGTACACTTTTCACCTACGTTTTTATGTAAGGTTAAAATTAGTTGACCACATACCAAGCTGGTAGCTTTAACTATAGTCATATTTCGAAGCTCTTTTAGGGTGCACGTTCATTGCGCGTCTTCCGTTGATTTAACAGAGAGATTAAAGTTTTCCATTTAGTAAATACCCATATTAAATATAAAAGTCCCGTCGTTATTGGACTATTCATTACCGTGTGTAATAAATATTTTAGTTACTCGATGAAAATTCAGTTTAATTACGTGGTTTCAGCCACCGTCGCCTTCGTTTTCATCGTTACTTCGACGAACGCGAAAAATGTCCCGCAGTATGCGGTGCCAAAGAATCAGTCGAGTCCAGCCAAACCAAGTACGAGAATGTTGTCTAGTAAAACAATCCTTCTTATCACGCCTGCAGTGAGTGATACTATGGTAGCGTCCGTAAACACCATCGAGACGACAACTATTAAGGTATTCGTACCGGTCAAGAATACCATGGCGACAACGACTGTCAAGGGAACGAACAAAAACGCCACCTCGAAGAAGTCTATTGCGGGTAAGGCCGCCTCACAGGCGGTGAAAATAGCCAACGTAGAAAAGGTAACCGAAAACCAGACGGACGAAAATCGAATTATGATCAGAAGATATACCGACACAAATCAACAAACGGCGATCATCAAACCGGGAAACAGAAAATGTAAGGAGGGATTTATTAAAACGTCTAGTGGATATTGTAAACCAATATTTCGAGACGAATAAGATTGACGCATCCTCATTGCCAACGAGTTCAGGGCTTAGAATAATAATATACTTACATCATAATGATTCGCAAAGCATTCAAAAATGCACTTTTTCAAAATCTGATTTTTAGAATGTTTTTTTTACTCAAATAATTATTGTAATACTTACGAAGCTTCATGTGGAGATACAAACTAAAACCTCCCTTTCTAACGTAAATAATTTAGAACATAATTTTCTAAAAAATGTCATGTACTAATCCAAATTTGAACGAGTAGTTTTCGATATATTTAACTTTGTGTAGGTACTAATAGGATAATAATGTTATGTCCATATTATGGTAATGGGTTAGAAGATATAGGTCTATGGTAATTTAACATTTTAGTGATTTATACCTATTAATCAGCTATCAGGATCAATAATTTGTAAACAATTTTCCACTTATCATAAGCATTGGATCCAATATTATATACATTTTATATTTTTTAAACTGTTTTTCAGGACTATTATCTATACATTTGAATAATTATACTAAATAAGTTCAATTCGTTCAAGTTTTAAATTATAGGAACAAGGTGAAAAGAGGAGTTCTCAATAAAAAACAGAAGTTTGTGTCACCACCAGTGGATATTTTAACTAATATACCAGGTGACAGAAATGTCGCCCAGTGAAAACTTTTTGTCGCCTAGTAGATGATATATTTAATTATTGGGCGACAACAATTTTTGTAAAAATGTCGATGTTTGAAATTATTATATAATTTTATTTATTGATTATTTATCATGTTTAATTTTGTTATTTATTTATGACGTATATCATTTCGTTTGATAAATAATTATTGAGAATGAAAAACCCATGTGACCATTTACGGCTGCCCGTAGGTATCAATAGAATAATACAATGCAAGAAAGCGCGCAAGCGACAATTCGACATGTATTCTGGTCGTCAGTCTTCCCGGCAAATATCTGCAAATTGAATGTTTTTGATTTTATTTTAGTACTTGTTCCTACAAGATATTAGCCAAATAATTATTTATTCAAAATTCTTATAAAAATTGATACCACATAACTTGATTTTCTACTTGTTTTCTTATTATCCTATATCTTTCTTACAAAAATCAAATAACCACTATCTTTTCTTTTCCTTACCTATTATTCTATAATTGTTTATTACTATATTTTTATTTTTTCTTGTTCAACTTAATATTAATATATAATTAATTAATTAATTTGTAAGACTCCAACTCATCAATACGAGGTTTCACCTCAGTGGTGGGTTGGGTCAAATATTTCGGTTATTATATAATCAGTTACTATTATAGTAATAAAATTACGTGTTTTTGTGTAACATTGTTACTATTACATTTCATGTTTAATTGTTTTATGGACAAATAAATATTAATATTATTATTATATGCATTGTAAATACAATTAAATCATTTCATTTTATTTTAATTTAATTTATTCTTCAAAAAGATATAATGAGTCGGGGCTAGATTTGTTAGTGGGGTTCTATGAGTTCATAATTTGAAATAAAAATGCATTAAATAGTTACCTAATACAATTAAATAACTACATAACATTTTTCTGACATTACTATGAAATATCAATACAAGTAAATATATATTTTGTTATATGAACGTGCATCAATAAACATAATATTATAATAAAATGGAAATAGTGTGGTATTTTATCTTAGTTAATATTTTTAAATATATGTATATTTCAATGATCCGTATATTTAATGGATTACGAAAATGTTCAGATATTTCCTCTCTGGAATACACGTTTAACAGTAGGCCGAAGTTCGTTTTATTGCAAATCGCTACCTTAGGTTCAATATAAATTATAATATAGGTAGTAGTGTCACACTTTAGAATTTTATTTATATTTTTATGAAACCTTCAAGATTGTGTACTTAAACCTGTCAGAAGTCATGGTTTGTAATCATATACTACTTTAAGCAAATAAATAAAAATATATTGTTATATAAAACAAAATACAATGTCCACTTTGACCTCCAGTTTAATATATCTATTATTATTATTAATTATTTCTTAATAGTATTATCATATATAACTTATATATTCTTACAACCAATTTTCTTAGATAAATAAACAATTTAATTTCAATCTTTAAGTTTCTTATTAATATTTTTTAAATTAAACAGACTTTAAACTTCCTTAGCAACAAAAAAATTTTATGTTTAATATGAATAACTTTATAAGATTTTAAAAATAAATAAATAAATCGTATTAAAAACCTTACTTCATAGTTCATAGTAACATAAGCAATTGAGACCAATAGATGAATTGTCACCATAGTAACCATTTTGCTCTTTTCATACTGTTTAGTTTACTATTTAAAAAAATAGTAGTCCCATAAATGCATAAACTAATTAAAATTAAATCAATTCTATTGTAACTATAAATTTATATAGGTTTCGAAAAAAATAATTTTTTTATATTAATTACTACCTATGTTTATAAAATATAATATTTATTCGGTACACATATTTTACATCAGCATCATCAAAAAATTAAAAATTAAACGAAAATGGCAATTGTTTTTATCATTAGCGGTTTATCAGTTGATAAGTAATATAATAACAATGAATCAATTCACGTCATATTACCAGCTGTTTATTTCTTTACGACACAATAATAAGATATGACCACTTTATCCGCTATGGTCACTTATCTGTACACTTTTTCCCTACATTTTTAATGCAAGGTTAAAATTAGTAGACCTCATACCAAGCTGGTGACTTTAACTAGTCATATTTCGAAGAGCTTGTAGCTTGCACGTCCATTGCGCGTCTTCGGATAATTTAATAGGGAGATTAAAGTTTTCCGCTTGATACCTATATTAAATATAAAAGTCCCGTCAGTAGTATTAATTTGGGGCTTCTGAGTTAAATTTTACAGGGAAAAAAAAAAAGTTCAAGGGGGAAAGTCCCCCTTGCAGCACATTCGATCACCGTATAGGTAAAAATTCTAAAAAGGTGGGTTGGGGCTTCTGAGTTAAATTTTACAGGGAAAAAAAAAAGTTCAAGGAGGAAAGTCCTCCTTGCAGCACATTCGATCACCGTATAGGTAAAAATTCTAAAAAGGTGGGTTGGGGCTTCTGAGTTAAATTTTACAGGGAAAAAAAAAAAGTTCAAGGAGGAAAGTCCTCCTTGCAGCACATTCGATCACCGTATAGGTAAAAATTCTAAAAAGTATGGTTGACGGTACTGAGTTAAATTTTACAGGGAAAAAATTTCAAGTAGGAATGTATGCCTTACAGTGTAACCAATCTATCTAAAATTTACTAGAGAAAATGCAAATTTTAATTTGTCAAACAAGATTTTATTTAAAACATTTAGTCAGTTACTATCGAGCCGTCGTACAATCAAGTTGTGTTATTTTTTTTTTTCAGTGCATTATCTTATTGAATCGATTTTTTTCAACCAACTATTTTAAGTTTTATTAAAAAACCATGAATTTACAGAAGTTTTCTAACGATTTTCCTTCATTGGTTTATTTAGTTAGAAATAATTCGTATCCAGTACATTCAGATTTTACTACATTTTTATCGAGATTAAAAACGTATAATTCATTTCCATCTACTTTATGTCAAAATAAATATTCGTTATCTGAGGCTGGATTTAAGTATTCAGGAACTGCTGACATAGTCGAATGTTTTTGTTGCGGACTGGTGTTACAAAAATGGACTAAAGATGACATTCCGTTTGTTGAACATGCAAAATGGAATCCTAAATGTATATTTGTTTTACTTTGTAAGGGTAATGAATTTATAGAAAATGTAAAAAACGAATATGTAAAATCTACACATGTTTGTGATTGTAATCAGTCTAAATCATAATATGTTATCATTAACTAGTTTACTTGTTTAAATTAATTATATTTTAATAATTTGTAATCATTTATAAATAAATATTGTATTAATCAACTTAAATGCGTTAATAATTGATTTTATATCTCGTTGACTTGTAGTCGAGTCGGATAACGCGTCAAGTTGTAATTCAATATAATAGGTAGGTTTAAAATTCAAGTTACAGGTTCAACGGTTCAAGTAAGTATCCCCTCTCTACGCGTTGTCTGATTTGGTTTCATGGTCACTTTAGTTTTTTATATCGATATCAGACAAATAAGTTTAGTATATAATAATACAGGATTCAAGTAATATACTCAGTTTTCAAATATGTGTGTTGTAACGATCATCCGTTATTCTATTTCACGTTTTTTGAAGTTCAAACATTTTTTTACATTTATACGTTTTTTTTTTTTTGAAAAAAATCATAAAAAATCGACTATATCAAAAAGAACACGTCGCAGTACAATATGATTCCAATTGTTGTTTCAAAGTCAGTAATCGATATACGACCTCTTAGCAAGAAAAGTGTAACTGTTGGATTTTTGGTTGATAAAAATATGTTTACTGTTATTATATTACTCCAATGTAATTTCGCAAAAAAAATGCTAATGATCGATTTAATACAGTGGTATACACTAATTTCAGATTCAATTTATAGCTCAATAACTAATAATCTACATACTAATAATAGTAAACGTATAAAAATAACAGATAGCATATATTATACAGTTAATTTAAATCAGTTTACTATTAAATTGTATGTTAATAACCAATTTATCACGTTATCATATAATGATCTCCATCGGATAAAAGAATTACAAGAATGTATTGATTCGTATATTGTTGAAAAGCAGAAAAAGTTGGTTTCATATCAGTCAATTTTTGATACAGTGTATTCATTAATTAAAGCAAACATTAATATTTTACCATTATCTTGTCAGCGAAATGATTTTACAAACCAGTACATACAAAACTTTGATTTTAGCAATTGTTTTGTACAGAACGATGATTTCAGTTTTATGTATGAAATACTTCAATTCCACAATAATTCTTTATCAGATATAATATTAAATGATATTAAAATATAACGTTATGTAGTTACAATCTACGACTGCTTTATCACCAGCTGCAGCCTGCAGGTTG